CTGCAAACTTCTGGCTCAGTCCCAATCCTTTATTTGAGCCATCACCTGGTTTGCAGAAGGCTCAGTTCTGTTTTTTCAAGTTGAATGAATATATTGAATCCTGACAGTGTATGTAAAGCAATTTGGTCCATCCTTCTGCTTTAAGGGAAAAAGAGCATTCTCCTTTCTCCTTTAAAAGTATCAAGAGGATACCACAGGCTCCCCTAGTAATTTGTTCCCTTTGAATAATAGTTATATGATTCAGGCTATCTAGAACTCTCCTATCCCACCCTTTGTGTATCTTCTCTAGAGAATTGATTTTCATTCCTTTTTAAAAACCTTTAAAACACTATTAAGAGACATATAGAAAAGTACCTAAAACATAAATGCAAGATATTATAGAGCAAACACTAACGTATTCACAACCAGAGTGAGACAGACTCTGCCATAACCTAGTTAGCTCTCCAGGTATTACTTCCAAAGCACTATTCTCCAGAGAGAAGCAGTCTTGATTTATTGTAATAATAATCTTCGTTTTACCTCTTACTACCTATGTATGTATTCCTTAATATTAGTTCAGCATTTCCTGTTTTTTGTTAACACCTAGTGTTAACAGAATCATACTGTATGGCCGGGACCGATTTGGCTCAGTGGATAGAGTGTCGCCTGCGGACTAAAAGGTCCCGAGCTCGATTCCGGTCAAGGGCATGTACCTTGGTTGTGGGTACATCCCCGATAGGGGGTGTGCAAGAGGCAGCTGATCGATGATTCTCTCTCATCGATGTTTCTAACTCTCTATCCCTCTCTCTTCCTCTCTGAAAAAAAAAAAAAAAAAAATCATACTGTATGAATTCTTATTTCTTGCTTTGCTAAACATTCTAACATTTCACTTTGCCATCAGGTAACTATTAATTCTTTTTAATTTCATGGTTATATGGTGCTCTGAGTTATCCATTCTACAGCAAAACAAAAAAGCAACCAACCAAATAGGAGATGGTATTTGCAAACAATAGCTCCAAAAAGGGATTATCATTCAAAATATATAAAGAACTCATACAACTCAACACTAAACAATTCAATAAAAATATGGACAGAGGACCTGAACAGATATTTCTATCAAGAAGACATAAAAATGGCCAAAAATATATGAAAATATGTTGAACCTCACTAGCTATTAGGGAAATGCAAATCAAAGACTACAATGAGATACCACCTCACACCTTTCAGAATGGCTATTATCAACAAGACAAGTAGTAACAAGTATTGGAGAGGAGAAAAGCGAACCATCATTTATTGCTGGTGGGAATGTAGAACAATACAGCCACTATGGAAAATGATGAGAAAAGTCTCAAAAAATTAATAATAGCTCTGGCTGGGTGGCTTGGTTGGTTGAAGCATCGCTCTGTACACCAAAAGATTGTGAGATTGATTTCTGATCATGGCACATACCTAGGTTGCAGGTTCAATCCCCAGTCTGAGAGCACAGGGGAGGCAACCAATCAATGTTTCTCTCTCTTTAAAATCAATTAAAAATACCAGCAGGGAAGGATAAAAAAAGAAAAAAAGAAAGGAAAGAGTTACCATATGACCCAGCAATCCCTCTCCTGGGTATCTACCAGAGAAACTATAAAACATTTATTAGCAAAGATATATGCACCCCTATGTTCACTGCAGCACTACTCATCATGGGCAAGATATGAAGACAACCAAATGTCCTTCGATAGAAGATTAGATAGAGAAGATGTGGTACATATAGGTACTACTCAGCCATTAAAAACAAAATACCACTATTGTAACAACATAGGTGGAACTTGAAAATATGCTAAGCAAAATAAGTCAGTCAGAAAGTTAAAAACTATGATTTCACTCTTGTGTGGGATATAAAACTGAAACTCACAGACACAGACAACAGTATGGTGGTTACCAGAGAGAAAGGATGTGGTTGTGGAGGGGGAAAGGGAGCCCAGTATTTGGTGTCAGAAGATGACTTAACTTTGGGTGATAAACACATAATGCAATACACAGACCATGTATCATAGAAATACATACTTGAAACCTATAAAACCCTATTAACAATATTACTACAATAAATTAAATAAAATAAAAAAATAAAAAAGGAGGAATCTGAAGGAAGTTCAGACCATCTTGGGCCCAGGAAAATAGAAAAACAGACCTAAGAGCAGCAGTGGGATTGTTATATGATAGGCTCCTAAATGCAAATGTTTAACTGATACGTGACCTTTAAGAAACCATGGCCATAGACACACATCCACTTAAAAAGTTACTTCTAGGCATCCATATCACACAGTGGAGGCTTTAAAAAATGCTTCCTATACAGGCTGTCCCAAAAGTCTTAGGTGAAGTTTTAAGTTATTAAGGCTGAGTGTGGGTGACGGGCTGAACCCACCCTCTGCCAGTCCAACAGGATAGCTACAGATGGTCTTGATTATCATCAGTTAAATGTGCAGCCAAGATTAAAAGAGACATTTTAAAGGATTAATTAGTGAACCCCCCCCAAAAAAAAGTAAATTACCGGCCTGTGTTAAATCAACCAAAAGGAAACTAATCCAGCATCTTAGCAATAGTGCTCGAGTGTATTCAAATGGAAAAGCTTGGGCTAGAAATACTTGTTTAGAAAAAGAACTACATCACTCCATCCTCCTTTATCAAGTAATCTAAGCCATTGTTGGTGCTTAAAATAGGATCAAGCAAGATTTATTTATTTGTTTGTTTATTTATTTATGTTAATCCTCGCCCAAGGATAGTTTTTCCATTTTGTTTGTTTGTTTTTTGAGAGAGATAGTGGAAGGGAGGGGGAGAAACATGGATGTGAAACACAGCAATTCGTTGCCTTCCCAGCCAGTGAGGTACACAACTCACCCCTACTCAGAATCAAATCCCAGTTCAGTCCCTGGGCTGATGCTCTAACTACTAAGCCAAACTGGCTAGGGCACAAGATGTATTTTATTAAAACAAAACCCCTTTCAGCTTGACCTAGATCATATCCTTAAATAACTTTATTCAATGAATTAGTAGAAAGGATTCTTGATTACTACTATAGTTCTTTTGTGTAGCATGCTTCAAATTAATGCAAAAAGCTCAGAAGAGGACATCAGATAAGGTAAAAGGCTTTATTATTCAGGATCAGCTCAAAGAATGACATTGACACAAACAGGGATAATTATCTCATTACATTTGACCTTTGGCACCCATTTGAAGTACTAGTTTTCCAAGTGAGACATGTTATACCTAGCAGCGTCTCAATAGCTTCTGACAGCCACATTTACCCCAATTTCACTCAGTAGAGTTGTCAGGAGTTATACAGGGATACAAAGAACAAAATCATCTATTTTAGTAATCCTTTTCTTTTTCAAGGATTATTTTCCCTACTGGTTTTCAAATAAAAAGATGGATAGTTAGCATTACCTGCAAGTATTGGTCATAAATACCTTCCCACAGTCTAATACTCAAAAATAAAAAACAAATATGTGTAGAGTTCCTAAAAATTCAGTTAATACTAGTGAGTGCTTTGCTTTGAAATGACAATTTTATAGCTTCCCTTATTTTTCTCCTCAGATAAAACCAAGAGAACCCATGCTTAATTGACCTTTGCAGTGACAAGCTTAACTTACAAGAATCAGAGGAATTAAAGACTTATCATTAAGAACAGACTTGACAATTATCACAAATATACGAATGAAGTCTCCATAGTCCTCAGATATATAGATAAAATGATTGGAAAGGGACTCCCTTGCAAAGACAAGAGGGCATAGAAAGTAGCTTGTCTCTCTGAGGTTATAACGGGGGGAAATATAAAACAACAGTTCATCTCAAGATGAACGATACGTAATTGTTGATTAAGGGAAGGAATGTTCAAAATATTTTGCATATTATAACTTAAGAGTTAGTCTATACACTCTATATAAAATATCTACAAAAAATACGAATAACTTTTTTACTCAGGGCTATAGTAGAAGGCCATTGCTTTTTATGTATATGAAGAGAAGCCAAAAAAGCAAGTTAAAGCCAAGATTTATTTTTGAGGTTCTGGATTTTCAGCTCAGAGCTACCTTCTTTTATAAAAGTATCAATAAGAAACTGTTACTTTTTCTTGAAATCTGATGACCTTTTTTTTTTTTCTTTTTTTTTTTTCTTTTTAAGATGCAGCACCTGGAGAACTGAGGACTAAATTCAAACCCCAGCTTCAGTGTATGACTACTGAGTTTATAAAAATTTCCTCTTGTAAATAGCAAAAGTCACAACCTCTTGTAGAACATGATGAGTTGATAACATAGTAGATTGCGTAGCAAAAATATGGGGAACTTAAAACTTGTGTAGGAGATATATTTTGGAGAAAAAAGACAAAGGTTTCTAGTGTTGTTCTACTTTCTCCAAAGAGTTGACGGTTTTTAAAATAAAGATGATTTTAACTACAGAGACTGTATCATTGAATCACATGCTAAATGAATATAAATGTATTTATCTGAACATAACATTTTTACATGTACTTAAAAAAAATAAAAAACAACCAAAAGTATAGTGAAAAGATTATATATTTTAAATGCAAGTATATTAGCTTGAGGCAGCACAGATCCAGGAGTCTTCAACAGAAGACTTCTTAGCAGTGGGCCTTCCCAGACAGGCCTCCTGCTATGGCCGCAGATACTTGACACTGTGCATAGAAAGTCTCAGAGTAACAAGAGACAAGTCTTGTTTTTCACCTCTACAGTCTGGGATGTCATTATTATAGAGAAGATGCATGATTAAAAAAGTTAAGACTACTTAATTGAAAATGTTTATGAAATTTAAACACAGCATTCACCCAGAGGAAGCTGCATATACATTACGGTGGTAGAACCAGACTAGGTAAATTTTAGTTGAAAGGATTGTCTCTAAAAATGAAAAAAAAAAAAAAAAAAAAAAAGGTAGTTTTTTTAAAGACCAGAGTTATAGAGTCACTCTGTTGTATTTTTATCTTGTTTTAATGGGCCAAAGTTCAGTTAACTTACTCAGATTAGGATCTATAATTCTGTTGACCGTTCAGGACTACAGTAGTCATCTTGGGACTTTCTATGGAAGTATGTACAAATTTTCCTCATGGAGTTGGGAGTAATAGTGACCTAGAAGAAGAAAGGTTAGATTTCAGACATTTTCTAAGAAAAGTCCAGCTGCTACTCAAGCAAGTTATCATTAACAGACATTTTAAATTAGGATGCCTAGAAATTTGATCCAAATAGTTGGATGACAATGCCTCTTTTGGTTGATTTGTATTGAATATAGTAAAAATTTAATAGATAGTATGTAAGGAATGAAGGCAGAGGCTTTTCTTGTGTACAAAAAATATTTTTAAAAATTACTATCCTCTTTGAAATGAGTAAATGACCTTTCCAAATTTACAAACAAGACAAGTATTCAAATGACAGCTGCTATTCTCTTCTAAAGAAGTCTACATTGTTGTCACATAAAGAAAAATTCTTTTAAAGAAAATTTAGCTTCAAAGATTGAAAAACAACAACAACCCAGTGTTAAATGGACAACTGGCCCAAAACGGAGTCACATATGCTAAGCTCCACTGCAGCAAACTACAACTAGCAATACATAACCTAAGTGCAATTTCAGCCTTTCCCAGGAATGCACCTTCAACCAGTCAATCTGGAATTTCCTGATCAGAACCAGGGAGGCACATCTGCTTGATAGATCCTCTATCTTCTCCGAACGAAAGGTGTCCTTGCCTAAATAATTTATTCTCTCAAATTTCCTTTCCCTCCCCCTTTCTGTCTTTTTTTTTTTTTTTTTTAATATATTTTATTGATTTTTTTACAGAGAGGAAGAGAGAGGAATAGAGAGTTAGAAACATCAACGAGAGAGAATCATCGATCAGCTGCCTCCTGCACACCCCCCACCGGGGATGTGCCCACAACCAAGGTACATGCCCCTGACCGGAATCGAACCTGGGACCTCTCAGTCCGCAGGCTGACGCTCTATCCACTGAGCCAAACCGGTTTCAGTCCCCTTTCTGTCTTAATAGAAATTTTAGCTAGGGGCAAAGAGCAGATATAGTGATGATACTGAGAAGGAAAGGCTCCTTATAGCATTAAAAAAAAAAAAGTTCTGTTGCAAGGTTTAATTGGAGTTTGTGTTAAAAGAATCTTGAAAATATTTCTAGTTTACTCCTAAAATATAGGATAGGCTTCATGATAGTGGTGGGTGATATAAACATTTACTGACCTGGCCTAAGTTATCCAACTTCTATCTTTTAAAAGGGCAGATGTAGCCCAACCGGGTGGCTCTGTTGGTTGGAGCATTGTCCTGTACACCAAAGGTTTGGGTTTGATTCCCAGTTGGGTCATGTACAAGAGGCAACTAACTGATTGATGTTTATTTTTTCTTTCTCCCCCTCCCTTAAAATTAACAGACATATCTTAGTGTGTATTAACAAAATAATAAAAGGGCAGATGTTGCTGATCATGATTCCTGGATTGGATTTTAATCATTCTACCGCACCTTCTTAACACACAGCAAGAGCTACCATGAACTATAGCAGAAACTTCCTAACTCACCTCCCCTTAACTTACAAACTGGTTAACAGAATCTTTATTCCCTTTGATTGGTGCCCACAGCTCATCTAATGCTCACAGCTACTTCGGCCTCCACCGTTATGAGTCACTTGCTTTTTAAGGTTCATAAACCAGCAAGCAGTTATGTGTTTTTAAAATTATCTAACTTAAATAGTATATCAACCAATTAAATATGAGCCCTAAAGAGATAAGTAAAACTAAGCTGAATGTTTAAAAAAGTGTAGATACATGTGAGTTGACAAAAATTGATGTGAGCAAGTTGACTAATAAGAGATTAGGGATAATCATTAAAACCTAAAAGGATTCTGCACTTAAAACTGCTTTGCAGATAACTAAGTTTGACTTTATTTTAAATAATCATAAACTGTAATTACAAACTGGTAATCTATTTATGGATACTGACAACTTGCCCATGAAGGACAGCTTCATCTGTAAAACGGGGAGGGTGTCAGGGGTTGCCAAGGGCTTGGGGTGGAGGAAATAAAGGGGGAGGGAGGAAATAATGTCGAAGGACAGGGAAGATATTTTTGAATTGATATCCTGGAGGATGAGGAGGCTTTGATAAATCAGGCAACAGGGTTGAGGGGCATGAACCTTGACAGAAGTGATTTTAATGGGAATAAATAGGGTTACCAGAGAAAAATACAGCACACACCTAGTTACATTTAAATTTCAAACAAATAACTTTTTAGTATAAATATGTACCTATTTAGTATAAATTTGTCCTGTATACTTATATGCTAAGTCTGGCAACCCTAAAATAACTAAATTTACTTAAAAAAAAAAAAAAAAAGTATCCTGACTTCTGAGAAGGGATCTGTACCTGCCCTGTTCAAATTAGGACATGCACTTCCCTCCGCTGCTTACCGGGCCTGGAGAAGTCTTTCCGCTCTGTCTCCGGGAATTGGAAGTCTGGGATGATGGACTTCTTGGTGACGAATTTTCAGCCTTCCGTTTGGCTGCCATGGCCAATAACCAGTTTTTATTCTCTGGGGAGCTATTCTCTTTGCCCACCAATTCAGACCCTTCTCCACAAGATCCCAAAGGAAGAGGCAGTGTCCCACAGCCTTCTGAAGCATAAGGACTGGCAGGAGAAGGAGGCTCTGAGACACTCATACTGGCTCCTTCAATCTTGCTTGATTTGGTAGGGCCTAGCGAGTCTTTACCAAGGTCTTCCTGGTTACCAGTAAGGCAGCACAGATCCAAATGGAGCTTTTCAACTGGGTCATCAAGCTCAGTCACACAGCTGCAACTCTTCACACACTTTTGTTTCACATTCTCCAGACAACTTGAGTCTAGCCTCCTCTTTACCCTATTTCTAGACTCAGAGCAAGCCACTGCTTGGGATGATTTCAGGCTCACAGGAATGAGGGCTTTTCTTGGAGATGTGATCTTTGTCTCAGAAGCAGGTGGAGTGAGGGGGGGTGATGAGGAAGGTGTTTGGGTCACCCAATTTCTAATGGACATCTTGAAAGATGAAGGCGGCTTGGGAGAGATCGAGGAGACGGAGCCTCTTCTGCTAATTGGAGACCGGGTCTTGCCAGGAGAGTTTTTAAAAGAAAATGTGGGAGTATTTGAAGGAAGAGGGAGGTCTCCAGCGTAGCTTGGAGCACAAGATGCTGAGGAAGGGGAGGAACTAGATGGACTGCTCTTTACTCTGGGGGTTTTGGCAGGAGTACTCTGGTTACTTGTCACTGGTACTGAAAAAGAAAAGAGGGTCACAAAAATCAGAAGTGAAAGCCAAACAAATTCCCTGAATTAGCATCAAGGAAAATTACAGCTAATCAATCCAGGGGTTGATTTCTCAGTGAGTTGATCACATAAATCATTTGATTCTTAACATATCCTCTTAGCATTTTCCTTCCCCTTTCCTAACTGCCAGCCTCCCAACCATCCCATGGTAAAACATATACTTGTAAAAATCTAGAAAATTCAGGGAGAAAAAAAAGATTAAAAGCATCCAGGTGAATCACAGTGTTTTTTCCCCTTTACTTGTGCATGTAATATACATTTTACACTTTAAATTTTTTTCTCTAAAAAAGGGACTAATGTATATACTATGTAGTAATGTGCTTCTTAACATAGTATGAACATTTCCCGCATTAATACAGATTTATATAACTTTTAATAGCTACAAAGTATTCTGAGGTAACAGTAAGACATTTAGGTTGCTAATGATATTTTGTTTTCATAAGGAAAGTTGCCATTAGCATTCTTATATATACTTCTGAGCAATGTCAGGGCAGAAAGGAGCTGTCAAATAAGAGCGCACAGGTCTAAGATCAGTCACAACCATTTACTATGTGACTTGAGAAACAATCCCTTCCCTTCTCTGCCTCAGTTTCCTTATTTGTTCATAGTGTTTTAAAAATAATTTTTAAAAGTTTTTATTGATTTTAGAGAGAGGAAGGGAGGGAGGGAGAGGGAGAGAGATTGACAGACATTGATTTATTGTTCCTATTTAAACATTCATTGATTGACTCTTGTATGTGCTATAACCAGAGATTGAACCCTCAGCCTTGGCATATGGGAACTGTGCTCTAACCAACTGAGCTACCCAGCCAGGGCTAGGGATAGTTTTTAATTTCCACAAGAATTCCATCAATTACTTAATATTACCAGGCTTCATGTGGTTTTTAATTTACACATTGCTACTCTACTCTACAAGCCAAAATATGCCAAAGAACATTTCAGACACTCAATGCTTGCTCTCTGTAAAGCACATGAAGCAGTGGATAGAGCTTTTTTCTATATGTCCTGGCATTTGTTTATAGGCAATGGTAAGTACTTCAGACAATTTTCATAAACTTCACGTTTCTTCCCTCAGGCCCACCACAAGACAACACTATATTTTCTCACTTTTTCTCTGAATTTTCTAGATTTCTGGTGGTCTTCAAATAATAAGAAAAGATCACCTATTTCTCAGTCACTAAGTTTTTGAATTATAACTCTGATATTTAACTCAGTTTAATTATTGAATTGCATTTATATGCAACTGATTTTAGAATGGGCTGACACAAAAATACAATCTTTCATTTGGAATAAAAATTTACTAATTTCAGTCATTTAGTTACTATGTGTATTTTACGCTGTGCTTTTCACTTCTCAAACTACCTTGCCTTAACACATTGTGGACCAGTAATTTTATTGCTAGCTTTACCCAGTGGCCAGATAAGTTTCTACAGAACGAGTACAAAAAACGTTTTACATAAATGTTAAAGGGACGCTTTAAAATTAAATACCCACTGCATTTTGAAATTACTTATTACATGTTCTTACAAGCTAATATCTTTTTTTTTTAAAATATATATTTTATTGACATTTTACAGAGAGGAGGAAGGGAGAGAGATAGGGAGCTTAGAAACATCAATGAGAGAGAAACATCGACCAGCTGCCTCCTGCACACCCCCCACCGGGGATGTGCCCGCAACCAATGTACGTGTCCTTGACCGGAATCGAACCCGGGACCTTTCAGTCCGCAGACCGACGCTCTACCACTGAGCCAAACCGGTTTTGGCACAAGCTAGTATCTTTTTAAAATATGATACTTTGTAAAATACTGTGTAATATGAAGTGAGAATTTTCATGATCCGTCCGAAATGTGTTTAGATAGAGGGATTCTACCAATTGAATTTTGCCTAAATTTTTCTTATCAACTATGTGTTTAGGAATGGCCAAAATGATACTGTACCTTCAATCAAGGTCATTACTCGAAAACTCCCTTTTACTATAATGTACTCTAGAAGGAGAACTGGAAATAGGGACCTGTCCATGGAACTACTGGTGACAGGTCTCACATTCCTGCTCTAGAGCTGGATTACAGTCTTTATTTCAAAAGCAAAGAAACTTTTCATTGCTTCACTCCTCAGTGCGAGTCAACAGTCACTGCAGAGCCCTGCAGTCATTAGTGTCATGAAAATGGGATGAAATGTACGTTTAGGGCAGAAAGTTCTAAAAGTATGAGTCTTACAACACGAAGATTCATAGGCAGGATTAGGGGAGAAGGAAAAGCTGGCCCGGGACAAAGCAGGTACCGGTATATAAGTTTCTGTTACTTGAGTGAGACACATGAAGTGTTTATTAAAGATCAGTGGGAAATCTGATATGGTGGAAAACTGGAGCATTTCTTTTTCCTTCCAGATGTTATAATGAAGAAAAAAAATAAATCATGAGGGTCAATGATAAGTTTTTGTTAACTTTGAAGCTTAACAGAACTTAAACTCTGGGTCAAATTCAAATCCCTTATTTTTTAACTTTAATTAGATTATGAAAGTAATAAAAATCCTCTTTTCAACCTTCTCATTTCACTCTTATGTGCATTCCTCAATTTTCTATGTGCTTAATACTAGCACAAAGGTATTTGTACATACCTTAAAAAGACCACAAGGGATTATTAAACACACATGTTCTGCAATTTGCTCTTTTCTCTGAATAGTATATCTTTTTCTCTTTATATCTTTTCATGAAAGTACACTTAGAAACATTACTTTTTTTTTTTTTAAACCAGCTGGATAGTGTCTCACCTTATTGGCCTATAGATTCAAATATGACATACCATTTAGTACTTCATCTATTTAAGTGAATCAACTCCTATTAACCTTAAACATTGCATGAGGTCTGATGACACAGTATAGACTGGGTTATTGCTCTAAAGGCTTCTTAACAGTTCCTTCCAGAAATTATGGAAAAGCTTACAATAATCAGTTAATTTGTAGCTTCTTTCTACATAAGAGTGTGCCACCTGGCCTGACTCTACCTTTCCAGTCTTATCACATACTATGCTACTTTAGGATCCTGTTACAGGGGACTGGCTACTCACTGCTTCCTGAACAAGCTGTGAACTGCATATCTCTGTCTTTATTTATGCAGTTTTCTTGCCAACTCTGCCCCTTCTTTGCCAGGCAAAAAGTCTCCTCACGTTTCCAGGCTCTGATGACAATTGTGTGGAATTCACAAACTTCTTTCCCTCTCTCCCATAGGAAATGCGTTTTCAGAGCCTTTTGTGTATAAAGCTAGGAATGATGTTTAGAATGTACTATATAGCTTTTTTTTTTTTTTTTTAATCTGCCTCTTGAACTAAACTGCAAGCACCTAGAGGGCGGATGATGATGCTTAAGTCATTTTTTGTCCAGTGCCTAAAATGTAGCTAGTCAGGAATTATTAAACAATGTTTATAAAATCTCATGACTGCTGAGAGGGATGAGGGTGAGGTACAGGCATTAAGAAAAAAGCCTTTGTAAGTGTTCTGCTGACTTTTGAGTCTGCAGCAAGCACTTAAGATAGAACAGGTAAGGTTTCCTTCTCTTCAAGATAAGGTTAATCATCTTTGTACTCAATAATGCCTCGACCAGAGGTTCTCAATCCTGGCTGCATACCAGACTTACTTGGGAGTTTTATAAAAATACAGGTACTTGGCCTCCACTCCAGACCTAGTGAACCCTCTCCGGGATGCTCCAACGTTAAAAAAAAAAAAAACTCCACAAATGGTTCTGATGCACAGCCAGGGTTGAGAAGCATTGGCCTTGTCAGATGTCTGGCTGAAATAGTGAAATAATAGTAAGCCACAGAGCAGGTACTGGCTAGGAAAAGTAGGGCAGAGGGTCTTGGGATTTAAAGCCTTTCAACTGGTGTGTTAAAAGGGCCAGAGAGAAGATATGCAGAGTCAGGTCAGCAAGAGAAGTCGGGGTGGCCATTAGAAGCTTGGAAAAGCAGAGGAACATAGTTTTCAAAATGACAGTGTGATTAGCAGCAGCCAGTCTGCTGCTGAATGGTGGATTACAGGGTTTAATGGCCAGCAAGACAGTCTTTGGCACTCATGTCAGGTTGTTACCCTGTAGTGCTCTTCAGAGTAACTCCAGCATCACCCAAAAATAAGAGAAATCTAGGTGTAAGTCCTTGTCTGGTCTTAATTTGAACTTATCTTTGCTGTGTGAGCTTCTAAAGAAGGCAATACTGCAGTGTTTTCAAGTATATGCTCTAGAATCAGACTGCAAGCTTTGTACTCTGGTTGTACTTCAACTTCACAGCTATGTGATCTTAGACAAGTCTAACTTCCTTGAGCTTGAGATTTAGTTATTTTGGGAATTAAATGAGATATTCAAGTAAGTCCTTAAAATAATTATGCTAGTACTCAATAATGGCTATATGTTGTTGTTATGATGGTCCAAATTTGGTCTATATAGGTCTATAGAACTTTTTGTGTGGCTTCCGAAAGTAAGAATAACTAATGACACACTAAATATAATGTTAAAAGCAACATACTTTTCATCTTAAAATGGTTCTACCCATTGACACAGAATTCCACCCCTGAAGATTTATGGAAGGGGTGAACGACCCTAAATGCAGAAAAAAAATTTCACAGAATATTGGGAACAAAGTGTCTAACTAAAAGAGAATAGTGGAATATCATATTATACATGTTTTGTTAAAAAGATAACATAGAAGGTGCTTAGAAGAGCACATTCAGTGGAAAAAATACCCAAGAAATACAAATGTATATACACTATTACTATGACTCTGTTAAGAATCTCTGTGGATAAAGGAAAAAAAAAGGAAAAATCCTCAAAATGTTAAAATTATATATGAATGGTAGAAATACTAATAGCGCTTTCCTCATATGATTCTTCTCTTTTATGTTTTCTAAAATTAGGGAGAGAAAAGTCCATATAAAGACAAGGCAGCGGATACATTCCATATTCATGGATCAGAAGACAATATTATTAACATGACAATAATAATTAAACTGATCTACACATTCAATGCAATCCATATCAAAATCCCAGAGAGCTATTTTTTGTTGTGTTTTTTTGTTGTTAATCCAAACCCAAGGATATTGCTCCATTGACTTTTAGAGAGTGAAAGAGAGAGGGAAACAAAGAGAGAAATATCAATGTAGAAAGAAACACATCGATTGGTTGCCTCCTGCACAAGTCCTGACTAGGGCCTAAGCCAGGGAGGAGCCTGCAACCAAGTTATGTGCCATTGACAGGAATCAAACCTGGCACCCTTGGGCTCTCTCTACTGAGCCAAACTGGGTAGGGCCCAGAGAGCTAATTTGCAGAAATTGACAAACTGGTCCTAAAATTTGTTTAGAAATAAGAAAGACCCATAATAGTTTTAAAAAAATCTTGAAAAAGAAGAAAATTGGAGACTCAGACTTTCCCATTTCAAAACCTACTACAAAGTTATAGTAATCAAGACAATGTGGCACTGGCATAAGAACACATATAGATCAATGAAATAGAATTGAGAGTCCAGAAACAAAGCCTTACATTTATAGTCATTTGATTTTTGGCAAGGATGGAAAAACAATTCAATGGGGTAATGAATAGTCACTTTAAAATAAACGATACTGAGAAAAAACTAGATATCCACAAGCAAAAGAATGAATTTGGATCTTTGCCTTACATTGTACACAAAAATAATACAAAATGGACAAGTTTTAAAATAAAACAATCTTAGCTTGAAGAAAAACATAGGAGTAAATGTTTGTGAACTTAGGATACACAATGGCTTCTTGGAAACAGCATCAAAAATACAAATGATGAAATAAAAGAGAGAGCTGAAACCGGTTTGGCTCAGTGGTAGAGCATCAGTCTGCCGACTGAAAGGACCCAGGTTCGATTCCGGTCAAGGGCATGCATTATACATTGATTGCGGGCACATCCCCAGTGGGGGGGTGCAAGAGGCAGCTGATCGATGATTCTCTGTCATCGATGTTTCTAACTCTCTATCCCTCTCTGTAAAAAAAATCAATAAAATATATATATATTAAAAAAAAAAAAGAAATTGTACTTCATCAGTTAGAAATTTTTATGTGTTGGACATCACCAAGAAAGTAGAAAAACACACACAACCCTACAGAATTAAAAGAAGTATTTGAAAATTATTATATGACAAGGAATATATCCATAATATATTAAAAATGCTTACAACTCAACAATAAAAAGAGAAATAACCCAATTAAAATATGGGCAAAGAATCTACACAGGTTATTTCTTCAAAGAAAATATACAAACTATAAAAATATACAAAAGCACATGCAAAGATGTTCATCATCAGCCACCAGGGAAATACAAATCAAACTGCAATGGGATACCAATTCACTGAACTCACAAGGATAGTTAAAATTAAACAGATGAACAAAAACAAATGTTAGTAAGGATATGAAGAAATTGTAACCCTCATTTTGGGTGTTGAAATTCCCTAAAATGAGACTGTGCTGATGACTGCCCAACTCTGAATATATTAAAGACCACTAAACTTTAAATGAATGCATTTATGTATGTTAATACAGGGTGGGGCAAAAGTAGGTTTATAGTTGTCTGTATGGAAAACAATACAATAATTAATAAATAAGAATAAGAATAAACTCTTATTTTTCATATTCACAACTGTAAACCTACTTTTGCCCTAATCTGTATGCCAGCCTGCTCCTGCTTCAGGGCCTTTGTATTTCTGTTTTGTCTGACAAAGTGTCCCCCTAGTCCACTATTTTACTTTAAAAAAAAAAAATGTTTTTATTGATTTTAGAGAGAAGGGAGAGGGAGAGAGGGATAGAAACATCAATGATGACAATCATTGATCTGTTGCCTCCTATACGCTCTCTACTGGGGATTGAGCCCACAAACCGGGCATGTGCCCTAACCGGGAATCAGTGACCTCCTGGTTCAACCACTGAGCAACACAAGCGAGGCTACTTCCTTCACTTAAGTATCACCTTTCACTGAGGTTTCCCTGGGCATCTAATCCAAAATTTTAATAGCACACTTTGCCAATTTCCCTTCCTTGCTTTCATTTTTCCTAAGCTCTGCTGTTATCTGACATAGTTCATAATTTACTTCTTTAACTTATTTATTGCCTTTCACACTAACAAGTAACCTTCATTAGCATTTTATATTCATGATTCTTTTGTTCCAATTAGAACAGTGCCTACTAGGTGTTCAATAAATATTTTACAAATAAAACCACCAGTGTATTGAAGTATTTTATACAGCTGATAAACAGTACTCAGAAAATATTTATTGAAAAGAATGTCAAGAAGATGCTTTTCTTTAACACTCTGAATTGTAGAACTAAACCAACCAAACCATAAAACATGTAGAAAAAATGTACAAGATCCTTACCTGGATCAGCTCTAGGCTCTTTTTTCTTCTGAGAGGCCCAACCCACTGTGGAGAGTTTATCACCTGATTTCTCCTCTAAACCTCTATTCAAGCGCCAGATTTTCAATGTATTGTCATCAGAGCAGGTAGCAATCTAAGAACCAGAAAGGGAGTTAAGAAGTTTTAATCAAAGACTCACAACAAAGTAAAAAGTAGGTATGTCTACAGGCTCATCATGACTGGAAAATTATTGTTTGATATAACAGGATATAATAAATGGCATCAAAAAGATCATATATTTCTATTCCTTGCTTTGAGGAATCATTGCAGATTTCAAAAAAAGTCAATTTTCTAGTTTTATTTTAATATATATTCTGCTGGTCATGTCTTTTGTTACCAGTCATTTCTTATTAACCTAAAGCTTTACTATAAACCAGGTATATTTTATTCTCAAGAATTTGGGCAAGTCATATCACCTCTATGTAACTATGAAATATTTAATTAAGATATTCTTTTTGCTTTCTCTTTCTCTTAAATGATAAATCAGTGTATGCCACCAACATTCAATTTCAATGCCTTTCCTCAGAATTCTGCATGTCCTGGCTTATTGCCAAAGTAATGGGATAATCTCCAAGATCTGACTTAGTACATGACTCTAGTAGCCTGTGACAAGCTGAATGAAACCAATCCTTTGATTTTTTTCTTCAGATAGGTAAAGGAGCAATCTGGGAAAATAAGTTCACTAGGCTGAAAGAAGTTAAAAATAACCTTTGCCCCTTTAAAAATATCTGACCATTCCTGATCTTGGTCCCAGGCCTTTTATGGCAGAGAAAGTCCAACTTGAAGAGCTTGTGGCAAATGGCCACTGGTACCAGAGCTGTTCCCCAGCATTTGTTTATATAATTTCTCTATTTCAGTCACTAAAGAGATAGAAAAAAAAGAACACACGTTCTCTTAAGTCTTGGCCCCAAGAGACTGGCAGCTTTTTCCTTTCCTTAATGGGAGGCCAAAAGAAGACACACATATTTAACTGCTCAACAAAAAATGCCTGGAATCTCCAGTTACTCTAGTCTGTTAACAAGAGTTATTATTTATAGGGCACCTACCGTGTGTTTTCACAATCTCCATTCTTTGTCTTATTTAATTCTCACAACATAAAAATACTTGTACATGAATAATCTCATCTACATAATGGGAATAAAATTATTTGCCAAAGATTATCATAACTGAGTGGCAGATCTAGATACAAATTTTTCTCATTTCAAAGGCAAGATCTTTTTACTTTTAAAACCATATTTTACCTTCCTAATCCTATGCTCGGGACAAAATTATTTCAAAGAACTTTTTAAAAAGGAGGTCAATAGATTAGTATTGGTATACTACCCTATCACTTTTTTTGAATCTTTTCTGTGTGTAGAGAGAAGGGCAACATATGATGGTTGCAAACAGATGATATAACTGAATAATTTTAAAACTATCTTAGTAAGTTCTATGATGACACAGAACTTCATGATAAAAAGAGATATTTTACTGTAAAAATAGAATCTCAAAGGACAAATGTCACTAGTGTAATGTCAATATAATTATTAGTAATTAAAGCAATGATTTCAAAAAAGATCTATCATGAAGCTGACCACAGAAATGGTCATACAGGCTACTAGGAGGGATGCCAGGAGTAGACCAGACCATGAAAAGGTCCCAGAAAATAAAAAACAGATGGTAAAATAGGCAAATGTCAAAACCTTAAAATGTCAAAATGAGAAAAAAGAGAACTCTGCATAATTGAGATTTCCTATAAACCTAGAATAACCCAAAGACTAGTGGCAGTTGAGGGTAGAAGAGTGAGTGGAACTGGGGCTAGTATTATTTAAAATCCCTATATATACTCCTAGGGATTTGTTTGTTTCTGGCCTTTCTATATTTCAGGGTTTTAAAATTTGTTTTCATTATTTAAAAAAATTTAAGTGAGAGTATTTTATTTTTTTCAGTGTCTAAACAATTTGAAACTACTTCTTGTGTAGTTTAATCACAGATAGCCTAACACTGTAAAACTTCACACTAAGCATTTTTTTAGGCAAGTGAAAATCTAAGCTGGACTGTGAAGAACAGTGAAGATGTTACCTTCAATACACCACATTTATATGTAAGAAAAGTTTTTAACAAACAACTTCACACCTTAGATTTTCTTTTTACCTTATAGGACTTAATTTTAATTATGTTAAAAACTTAATTCTATGTTTAGGAAAGGCATAACTCTGATGCTGATATAAACACTGGTTGGCCTCTAGATCTTTTAAATATTTAAGCATGAAAATCTATGTAATTTAAACTAACCTTGAGAAAACATACAAATCTATGATCTATTTTTTAATCCAACTATGGAGATTTGTTTACAAACCTTTGTGAAATCTGATGGACACCAGCACACAGATGTGACCTCCTGAGAATGACCCAGGAGCACAGTTGGAGGATGCCAGGGTGTGGACACCTAGCGAACCATCAAAAAGAAATAAGTCAGCAGAGCAGTGTTAGGACTCCCACATAAAGGCTTTCAATCTTTTCATATTTGTGCCATAGAGATCTTTAGGGTTGTTACCAAAGGCTCCTAGACATGCTTTAGTTATAGCTTAGAAAAAGAGTCTCAATGAACAATAGAAGTATTTTTATCATTGATCTGATACAAAGCCAAATAAGTAAATAATGAGTTTAGATACCAGTACAGGTCTTATTTCCAATCCAGACTACCCTGTTTCCCCGAAAATAAGACAGTGTCTTATATTAATTTTTGCTCCCAAAGATGCACTAGATCTTATTTTCAGGGGATGTCTTATTTTTCCATGAAGAAGAATGCGGTACACATTTATTGTTAAATGAAAATAAAGGAAATTTATTACCTGTATACGGTACAGTAGTACGGTAATTGTCAACACAAACCAGACAAAGTGTGAATCCTACAGTATCAAGAATTTACTCATTTATTCAATGACAATCATGTCATCATCTTCTAGAACATCATCATAACAATCCAATTCCTGAATTTCCTGGTGAATATCTTGTGATTCCATTTCTTTCAGAATCAGTGGACCAAATCTCTCATGTTTAGCAATAGCATTCTGAGACAGAGCCTGGGGGGGGTGTGTTTATTTTCGGGGGGATGCCTTATATTTCACTCAGAAGGAACCTGTAAGTAGGTCTTATTTTCGGAGGATGTTTTATTTTCAAGGAAACACGGTGTCTATATTTTATATCTATATCTATATATATTTTGACTAAAACTCAAAATGGTATGTCCCTTACCTCTAAGCTGTTAAACTTTATGGAAGGATGAAGTTCATCTGCTATCTTTTCTAGCCAGGAATACTACATGAACTATATATATCCTTAAGGTACCTGAGTCAAGCTTTTAACATTCTTAGAAGAGGATAGTCTTTCTTCCAAAAGAAGACTGACTGACTTTTACCAATGTCTAAAGTTATGGCCCTTCATTTTGAAGGATATAAACTCTATTTTATATGGCACTTTGATAACATTTTTGGAAGAAAAACTCCTCCAAAATTTTATTTCAGTTAATTTGTTTTAAAAAACCTTGAATTTTCAAGTAAGTATTGCCACAATTTAATGTATAAAAAAGGTCACATTGTGAAGTGTTATACATATCATTAAGAATCCTATTTCCTCCTTCACTGGATGCCATAGTAATTTGTACTAGTATTTGACAGCTGTCTGATTTAAGAGCTATTAATCTCTTTCAGAGGCCATGGGAATTGATCAGCACAATATGAAGAACTCACATAATTATTATTAGCACGTGTGTTTGAAAAAGAGAGATTACTCTCGTCATTTTTTCTGAGTCTCATTTCTATAGAAAAAGTGGAAGGGACTCTAAAAAAGAGTATTTGTGAATATGTCTAAGTAAACTTAATAAATTCCTCGGATTATAGTGAAAAGACTTGACACACCGAATCATAAGGTTACCCAACTTATTACTGCTCCTCTCTTGGGTTAAATGGCACATATACGATTCAAAAAGCAAAAGAAGACAAAGAACAGAGTTTGCTTTGCCTTGTTGTGTCAATGAAAGTTTAACAGAAAGGAAGCTTTTTCTGAGCACTATCTGAAAGGATTTCACTCACTGTCTACTCCTACAATGTCACAGACAACAATAACTTATTCTCCTACGAGTTAGCATATTTTCAAAAAGACTTTCAAGATAGTCTTTAATTATCTGAATAGCCACAGAAATCCTCCTTCCTCCTCTACTAATGGGCCCCAGCCCATTAAGTTTCTAATCACCCAAGACCCAAGCAGGTCTGATAGCAGCAAATGTAAAGGAAAAGGAAATCCTCATGCCCTCTTGACCCTCCCTGGTACAAACACATTATTCTCCAGGGGTTTACTCTGCTTGTTGCCTCTAGCTTTGCATTTAATGATACAATCCCTCCCTCAGTCCCAGGTATTATAATATCTAGAAAGAACCTAAATGTGTACACAAATATCAAAATAAATTTTAAAAAAAATCAAACATCTACTAGTAGAATGTATGTACATTACTGCATTTATCTATAGGATCTAAAGAAAAAACAAAGGATAGATCCTTTAGAAAAACTTTTTACAATTTTATAACAAGGTAGGAATAATAATGACAATAAAAGGCAGTATTTGTTGAATAATTACCATAGGCACTTTACACAGCATTAAAAATGAAAACATAAAAAAGCCAAACATAGAATTAATTACCATATGACCCAGCAATTCTCTTAGGTATATTCTCCCAGGAGAATTGAAAACATATTCAAACAAAAAAACCTGGACATAAATATTCATAGTTTAACTATGAATTCATAGTTTTATTCATAAAGCTCGAGTAGAATAAGCCCAATGTCTACCAATAGAGGAATGGATAAACAAAACGTTTACTAGCTATACAATGGAATATTCAGCCATAAAAAGGAATGACGTACTGATACATGCAATAACAATGATAAATCTTAAAAACATGCTAAGTGAACCCCATTTGGTTTGACTCAGTGGATAATCATTGGCCTGAGGACCAAAGGGTCCTGGATTCGACTTGGGGTTGTAGCTCAATCCCCAGTGGGGGGTGTGCAGGAGGCAGCCAATCAATGATTTTCTTTCATCATTGACGTTTCTATTTCTCTCTCCCTCTCCCTTCTCTGAAATCAATAAAAATATATTTTAAAAAAGAACAGGTTAAGTGAAAGAACTCAGATATAAAAGATCACATATTGTATGATTTCATGTATATTAAATGTCCAGAATAGGCAAACCCATACACAGAACGAAGGTTAGTGATTGCCAGGTGCTGTTGAGTAGTAAAGGGTACGGAGTTTCTTCCTGGAGAAATAAAATGTTTGGAAATGAGATGGTAGTGATAATTGCATAGTATTGTGATTATACTCAAAATTCCTGAAATGTACACAAAAAAATGACTAACATGGGGAATTTTATATGAAGTCTATCTAAATAAGAAAAGTAGAGGGAAGGGCATGTTGTGAATTGAAGTAAGAACTAATATCCAATATGTATGTATGAACGCAGGTTAGGATTACCCTAGTATGGTATGCTTCAAAGAAAATTAGTTTCCTTGAATGAAACTCAGTGGCTTTTAAATCCTTCATTTTTATTCAAATAAATTTTTATTTATTGTCACTTCATTATTATAAAAACATTATCATAATTACATGATTATTTATTTCTTTATTTATTTAAAAATATATTTTATTGATTTTTTTTACAGAGAGGAAGGGAGAGAGATAGAGAGCTAGAAACATCGATAAGAATGAAACATCGACCAGCTGCCTCTTGCACATCCCCCACTGGGGATGTGCCCGCAACCAAGGTACATGCCTTTGACCGGAATCGAACCTGGGACCTTTCAGTCCGCAGACTGATGCTCTACCACTGAGCCAAACTGGTTTCGACCATGATTTTTTTTTTTTTTTAAAGCCTTCCTCTACTTTTAAAAAGAGACCAGTAAGTCCAAAAGACATTTACATCTATGCATTCTGGGATGGTCAAAACATAGAAAATTGTCCTCTTAAGTAATAAAGACTTTAATTCAAGACATAAGAATCCCAAAGTTAAACTCCCAGAACTATGAAGGTACTTCTAGTAGTAATTGGCTCTAACCTACAAACCTCATAAAACATTTATATACTTAAATATGCAAAAAAGATCAGCACCCTTCCTCAAAAATTCTCCTTACTCTGCCCAGTGAGAAACCAAATATAATCTTTATTCCTGCCATGAGATCATTTACACTTCCTAAAGTGTCAGGCTCAATGTTTCACCAGTCAGCGGTACAATGACTGTGCCAAATCAGTTTATTTATAACCACTTCAATACTATTCAGTCGCTGTATCAGAAATGAACCAGAGAAGGAGGGAGTAAGGGTGACAGTGGGACAGGGGATAGGAAATGACAAAGAAAAAACACAATATTAAGTCTTTTTATTTTTAAGTCTTGGATGTTAGAATCTAAGAGTTTATGTTATATCTCCCGTTTGCCAAGCAGTGGTGAGAATGAAAAGGACATTCTCTGACACGTCTCAAGATCTAAAACTTCCCTGTTTCACTGTCTTCTTTTGCCCAAAGTTTTTAGTGTAGAAAAATACCAACACTTGAAAGAATTGACTTTTGGAAATGTAGCAGTGTTATAGACATTCTAACAAGCTGCATACTTGGCTTGTATGAAATTTTCTCTTAAAATCTCAACCACCTTGTTTTATCATGGAAAAGAAAAACTGAGCCACCCCACTAGGCTAATTCAATTTTAGGTGCAGTAAGCCTGCCAGGATCTCAAATATCAGAGCTTGCACGCTGAGTTATGTGTGGACAGGCAGGAGAACATCATGTTTGACCCACGTCATTCAGTACTAACATGTGACCGAGCCTCGGAATTCAGAAAGAGTCACCCATATATATAATAGCCATTAATTAGATATCTGAAAATGGGTTACTAACAACAGCCAAATAATTTTATTATGGCTTTAAAGAGGGGAGCATCTCTCAACCCTCATTCTCTGAAACCACCACCACCACCACCAAAAAGGCCTTTGTACTAGTAAAGAGGGGTAGGGAGTAACTTTGTAAGAATTGCCAATAAAACAGTATTTGTATCCTAAGCGTTTTTGTAATTAAGAAACTTACTTTAAATTATTTTTTTAAATGATCAGGGCATAAGTATTTTTTGGATAATCCTTTACTATGCTTTTTGGTGTGTCTGAACTTTTTTTTTTTTTTTTTTTTTTTAAGAAATAAGAAACTTAAAAAGATAAGATTTTGGTAGGAATAAAATCTTACTACTAAGTTGGGAGCCAAAGTTAGAGGGGAAAAAAATGTAGGTAAGAAAGTGAGGGAAGGAGAAAGGAAAAACCAAAAGAATAATATAAGACACATAAGATCCAATATGAAACTCAAAATTTAAAATGTAAGACAGAAATATTAGTGCTAGTGACACATATGGTTAAAGTTTAAAGCTCAAGTCCGAAAAGTTTTATAGATAAAAAGCTAGATGAAAAGTTTTATCACAAGATGGGGGCCTCAAATATATGTTTCATAAATAAATTTTCACTTAAAAATACAACATATAAAAGAAATATATTGTAGAAAAAGAGAGAAGCTAAACAAAAAAGCATCTTGGAAAGAACAATATCTCCACCATGTGACCATCTAGGATATTGTTAACTAAAAGCTTTTAATAAGGTATTTGCATTTTTGCAACTCTAGATATATAGAGAAATCATTTTTAGTACTCCCCCCAGGATCATATGAAATTAAGCTGAAGAATTATGCTTCATACCTGAAAGATTCTATCACTGTCTTAAAAGAATAAAGATAATGACTTCCTAGAGGTTGGCAGGACTAAAAATGATATAATTTCTCTTGAGAATAGATTTGAGAATATTGAACTTATGGACCTAGAAAGTTTTAGACATATGACTCTAAAACCCAAAATGTGTGAACTCTGATCATTCAATTCACCAATGTCAAGGACAATTATGAAATTACAGGGAAACCTAGAAGATAATTCATTTCTAGGCCCACGAAAACAATGCCTCAATGCTCGTCTCAAACTCCCAGACATTTCTATACTTAATTATTACCACAAGCGGCACTTTTCAGTGGTCAGCAAGTGCTATTTGAGTATAACATTTCAATTGGACTTCAAATGAATAGCTTTAAATTTCCTAGCTTATAATAGTATTTTTAGAACCACATTATTTTAAAAATTAAATATATATATATATATGTATATATGTATGTATATATATGTATGTATGTATGTTTGTGGAGCAGAAATGAGAAATCTGTAAAATCAAAAAAATTTAAATAATGCAATTAAGCCACACTTATTTTAGTAGCCTGAAGATTAAACCACTTTTAAGACAAGAGAATAAGGAACACAATTACTATACAAATATTTTTGAGTGTTTTGTGCAAGGTTCTATGGCTGAATTGAATATAGATTGAATCCTAGAGATTAAAATACTCCATGTATTTTGAATTGGAGTTTGAAAACAAAAAGCAGAAAAGCAGCCAAGTATGTTTTTCCAGGAAGCAGGACAAAGTAATTCAAGTTCTTTCCAGTTTTTTTAATTCTCAATTTCTGGATAATCTAAAACTATAGGAGGATGCAGATGGTCAATTACTGAGAAGCTCTGGCCATGAAAGTGTGATGTATTTTGTGACAACAGAGTGAAGTTTTGGCTACATTAAAAGACAGGAAGCAACTTTTACTAAACATCGGAAGTAGAAAAGGTTAATCATTTATGTGTTTATAATAAACTTACCTCTTCTTGGCAAAAAAGAAGTATTTACAAGAATACTTTATTTCCACATTTGTGGGGGAAATTTAACAACTTACCTTCCAGATATAGGCAGCTTCATCACTCGAGCCACTGATTAAAAACTGGTCATCTGGACTAAGACTGGATTTAATATAAAAAGTAGAGTTCTGATGTCCATTGAAGACAGCCACTGCCAGATGGGGAAAAAAATCAGTGTTTTGACTACTGAAGCAGATGGTCAAGCTACATTCACCAAAACTGGACAATGTCAGAAAATAAAGGAAATTCCATATTATATTAGGTCCAATCTCATGATCTGAACCTAAATACTCGGTATGGAGCTGACTTAGCTGACTAAGTAGTGAAAAATATTCTTACAGGACAAAAATAGAGCCAATGTCCAATCTTTCAGTCAAGTGCCTTTATAGACCCTCTCTCCCTACCTCAGGGCATGGCTTTCCCCATTACATAACGCAATGATCTTTCTTTCTCTTAGACTTTTGATCTCTTGAGGATAAATTTCCTATCTTATTCTTTCCTCACTATCTTTACAGTGCTTTGAATAGAGATCTTCAAACATCTGTTGCACAAATAGATAAAAATCAGTAAAAAGAGTTAAGTCTTACGGACGGCTTATCTGGATGAAGGAATCTTTTTAACTTTGCACTTGAAATAGGCTGAACAGTAAAAGTTGCTATTGTGGTAAATTTTATGTTCATTTTTAAGATATTCCAACTAGATTAAGTTAGGCTTTTAGTTTTAGCCTTCTCACTGTACATGGTAAAAGGGCAAGTAATCCAGTCTACCATAATGCGCTTGATAGGTTCTTCTATCCTAAGGAGACCAAAATTTGAAGTCTCTAGCATCAGAACATTAGAAAATTTAAAAAATAAAAAATAAAAGTTTTGGGGAATTTAAGAAAACACTTAGGCAGGAAACAAATTTCCATTCCAATCTTCTAACAGAAGGAAATAATTAAGAAACTTATACAGTTGTCATTCAAGAGGATAGTATATCGTTTACTGAGTACACATGATAATGGATGATACATAAGCTTTATATCCATCTATAATTTTACCTGGTACAATTCAATTTAGATATAGGATATGCCAAGAATAATTAATAACCAAACAAACTCCATGACTCTACTTGGGTGACCTTTTTAATGGTGAACTCCAGGTCACAACACAGTAAAACAGCTTCCATTAGTGTTCACAGAAATCCCTTCCTTTTGCTAGACTAAAACTAGAAAAATACTTTTGTATTTATACCTTTTCAAGAAAAAGCCTACATATCAAATACTCTCTACAGTAACCACTTTCACTGTGAAGTTAAGCAGAATATGAATCATTTCAGCTACACATATTATAGACCTACTATGTTTGGGTCTGTTAGTAAACTGTGTTTTTGTGCTTTAGTAAAAGACTATACTATAAACAATTATGTTTCTAAAAATTATGGAATGGGATCATAGTTTGCTAATAAAAGACACTGGTATAGTAGTCCACAATTGCTTACTTCTTAGTTTTCACGAGAAATTAAGGTTTCTAAGGGTTGAGCCTAATAACCTCCTAACAAGAAATAAATCCCCCCAAAATAAACAGGCTCCTTTATTCAGATTACAACTCCAAAACTGTAACCATTCATCCTTCTCAGCTCTAAACCTTGAATAGAACACTACAAACCAAATTTCCCACCAAACCTATAAGTATTTATTGCCCTCTGCTGGTGTAAGGAAGATTAGCATAAAGTACATGATTAATGTTTCAAACCATGCAAAAAATCCTTCTAAAATGTATATTGGGGTCAATTTAATTTTTCTTTGATGATTTGGGCTCTTAAAATCCCTCACTAAAGTACTTCAGAGTCATCCTTATGAATATCATTTAGTATAATAAAATGTTGTGATTTAAAAGTATGGGAGAGTAGCCCGACCAGTGTTGCTAAGTAATTGAGCTTCCACCCATGAACCAGAAGGTCACTGATTCAATTCCCATCTGGGGCACATACCCAGGTTGTGGGCTCAATCCCCTGTAGGGGGTATGCAGAAGATAGCTGATCGTGGATGTTTCTTTCCCATTGATGTTTCTATCTCTCTATCCCTCTCCCTTCTTCTCTCTCTAAAATCAATAAAAATATATTTAAAATATAATAATTTTTAAAAAGTATGGGAGCATATTGAACTCGGATCCCTTCTGAAATTTTTAAAAAAGCAAGCAATTACCAATTGTGCCATGCATACACACATCTATTTGTTACTCAATTTTAAAGAAACATAATAACTATACCTATGTCTTTCTATTTATGACAGCCAATTAAATTACTTTTGGGAACGCAATAAAAAGGGTTGCTAAATTGTTAGTAAAGTAGCCTTGGACATATCTGTTTGATTGCAGAAGGATAATCTGAACTCAAGGTTCCTTTTCACGAGACAGTATAACAAAATGATAACTAAATTAGAAGTTGTGTAAGTTTGGATTCCATTCAGGAAAATAGCAAAATTAGTTAAAAAAAACTCTTTCCTTTCCCAAATATCCTTAGACTTATTTCAGAGCACTGGCAATATCAACTGTAATGCTGCTACAGATACGAAGTCCTACTAATGGCTTTGGGGGCAGTCTTTGGAAATTTCTGTTAAGAGCCCTGCTAATTGTATACTATTTTGAAATTTATTTATCAGCACATCTTACTTTAGTGGGAACTGGGTAGATCTGGGGATTGGTTATAGAATTCAAAATCTATAAGAAAAAGCAGGTTACTAATATGTTGCTTGCTTAAGCAATTAATAATGCTCTAGAAATTATCTAACCCAAATAACCCTCTTAGTATATGCTTAAAAAACTGGTTTCTTTTTTAAAATGTTATTTATCAGATTTTACTTTGAATTTTCTTAAAGTATAAAAAGGGTAAGGATAAGGAAAATATAAAAGAGGCAACTGTCAATATTGAGAAGGCTGGTAAGAATTATTGTGGAGGATTAAAAAATTCAGTCCCCTAATTTAGTGAACAACCCCAAATAGAACAAAAAATGAGTAGAACATCCTTCTCTGTCCCACAAGATAATTCATCAGTAGAACTAATCAAAGATTCTAAAATCTTCATAAGTCATAGTAATAGATTTGGCTTGGAAAAGAACCAACATCAAATTGTCATTAACAAAAAGGACTGTATTAGTTTCTGGGTAAGAATTTGAATGACTAAGATCTTACCAGGAGAAGTCTTTAATCCAGTCATATTAAACATGTAGATGTTGTCATCTGTGCAGTTAGCAAATAAAGTAGAGCCAGTGGAATCCAAAACCAGACTTGAGTATCCTGGAAAAAGGAACTCTAGTTAGCATGACCTGATGACAATGAGTAGAAATGAGGTAAAAATGCTGAGGCCAAATGATCATTTTATAAAAATAATCACTAAAATTCTTTTTCCCCAAAATATATGCAAACCAAAAATATTCTTGTCTTTATTTTTTGAATTCCCAAAAGATAGAACCACATATTAGAGTTTTTCAAGTCTATGTTGCCAAAAACGAGTTTGATATTTATTTTAGTTTTAACAAAAACTTATATTCCCCAAAAAGTCCTTCCAAAAAAATCTTCCAGTCTATAAAAAGGCTTACCTAATTTTCGAGTGCTGCTACCTGGGTACAGGAAATACTTCGATGCTATAGGTTCTTGTCGATAAGCAGTGTAATTCTTACGCAAATCCCATATTTTAATTATCCTAAAAATCAATGTAAAGAGATATTTATTTGGTAGTCCTTCTCCAATCCCAACCAGTTTCAACTATATTGAACAAGAAATGACTTTTAATCTAACACCTCTGGCACATGAAACAGGTACAGTTAGGTTATCTCATTGGGAAACAGACTGAAATGTCTCATACTTTTTTCTAGAATCAGGCTTACAATTCTGGCATAACGGAAACAGATGTGATCTGACCCAGTGATGGGTTACCTTGAGTTTACATCAAGGGAGCGGAAAAGGAAGATGAAGGTTAGCTGCCGATAGTCATTGTTTCATTGTTTGCAGGAAAAAAAACATTTCCTAAGCTTTTAACACTCTGCATGTAACCTTTGACAGCATAAGTAACAAACTTTGTCCATAAGGTTATATCTCTATATGTAACTCCTTAAGTAATCTAAACAAATTTTCCTGTGAAATAGAGTATTTTTCATTTCAGCAATTGTGATTATTATCTTAATCTTTTACATCAAGCTTGTAAGCTACTTGAAAAAACAAGCTTGTAGCAGGGCAGTATCCTTGGAAACAAATAGAGCAAGCTCTCACATCCATTCACAAGCACAACTGATAACCTTTAGATAATACTTCATTTGTGCCTCAGTCTTTGGTCCACAAAAGAAAGTTTTAGTGTTCAGAGGACAACAAACACAATGGAAACCCTAAAAATCATGATCCTTTTTATTTATGTTTAAAAAAATATATATTTTCATTGATTTCAGAGAGGAAAGGAGTGGGAGAGAGAAATAGAAACATAAATGATGAAAGAGAATCATTGATCAGCTGCCTCCTGCATGCCTCCTACTGTGGATCAAGCCTGAAGTCCCGGCATGTTCCCTGACCAGGAATCAAACCATGACCTCTTGGTTCATAGGTTGACATTCAACCACTGACCGGCATACACTGACCGGCATAAGTTGTTTTTTTGAAGGGAAGATGTCTTGGGAGATATAATGAGCAAATAAGGGGACAAAGACAGGAGCTTATGAAAGATTCCCCATACTCAAATAAGTTATATTTGAACAAAGCAACCAAACAAAAAGTAGCACAAAATTATCTGAAGCTAAAAATTCAGACTGATCATGGATGGCAGGTATGTGAATTGAAAGTCATCAGGCCTTATTATATTAATCTAGTACTCCCAGAAATGCCCCAAATCAGATTTCTTCTTTTAGGTTATTAAACCTGAGAAGATAAAATCTAAGATAGTAGCAATTTTACTTCTCAAGAATTATGGACTATCACACATCTAGAGGAAATAATGAACAACATAAACTGATGAACAAAAACAGACCCAGAGAAAGAGAAGCAGCGTTTCAAACCTCAGAGGGAAAGTAGAGGAAGGGAGGGGAAAGGGGAAGAGATCAACCAAAGACTTGTGTGCATGCAGATGGGCTTAGCCAGTGGCCATGGACAACAGAGGGGTGGGGACATATATGGGGAGGGGTTTGGGATGGGAATGGGGGGATGAGGACAATTATGTGATACCATAATCAATAAAAAAATAAATAAATAATAAAAATAAAAATAAAAAAAAAATGCAAAAAAAAATTACGGACTAAATTATATTGCATAGATAAACAAGCTACCTATCCAGCTTCTCTATAATAGGAGCAGCCAATATTGCTCATATGCGCTAGACAATGTGCTAAGTGTAAACACATGTATTATCTCAATTATTTAAGCAAGCGTCCTAACTAGATATTTTCCAGTGATCTGCAGGTCCTCTTCTTAGGTGGGCATTCACTACATTGAAAGTTAAAAGCGCTCATATTCAATTATAATGGGACTAGTAACTTCCCCATCACAGTTCATGAAAGAGACCTTATCAAAAGAACCCAGAAATAAAGCTCTTACCCATCCACAGCTCCTGCTGAGACTAATGTATTCTCATCTTGAAAGAGGACAACAGTAACACTCTGCTGGGAATCCTAATAACACAAAGAAGAGAAAGAAAAGGAGTAAATCCTATTTTGGATAGCACAATCTTCACCATCAAGAGGCCTGGTGCTAAAATGGCTTTTTTTTTCCTCCCAAACTCTGAGTTATACTAAATCTTCCCTTTCTAATAATCCTAATCAGTGCCGACCAAGAAGTAATTTTAGCTAGGAAATTAAGTTGACTTACACTTAAGAAACATATTGGTTATTAAAAGATTTAACTTGCCAAAGCCGGTTTGGCTCAGTGGATAGGGCGTCGGTCTGCGCACTGAAAGGTCCCAGGTTCGATTCCGGTCAAGGGCATGTACCTTGGTTGCGGGCACATCCCCAGTGGGGTGTGTGCAGGAGGCAGCTGATCGATGATTCTTTCTCATCGATGTCTCTATCTATCCCTCCCTCCCTTCCTCTGTGAAAAATCAATAAAATATATATATTTTTTTAAAACTTTTTTTTTAAAAAAAAGATTTAATTTGTTTAAGCCTACTGGCTCTACTTAGAATCAGACCTACTAATAAGCTGTGTATCCTTAGGAAATTCACTTAACTTTCCCATGCCTGTTTCATCTATGAAATATCATCGTCTACCTAGATTTTTACCTAGATAAGAGTAATTACAGAATTACCGATCAAAGATGGTTATTACATGCTCTGAAAAATTTAAAGGTGCTCAACCTAATTGCTGTTAACAGACTTCTTGGCTCAGAATCTGATTAAATGTCTGAAATATTACTCATTTTTACTTCATCTATCATCTAAACTCCAAAGACCTCATGCTAGCCCTGCTAGTTTCCATTCTTGCTTGTGTCCTATTCATGGTATGCAATTTTTAAAAATATATATATATATTTTATTGATTTTCCACAGAGAAGAAGGAAGAGGGATAGAGAGCTAGAAACGATGATGAGGAGAGAGAAACATCGACCAGCTGCCTCCTGCACACCCTCTGCCGGGGATGTGCCCGCAACCAATGTACATGCCCTTGACCAGAATCGAACCCGGGACCTTTCAGTCCATAGACCGACGCTCTATCTATCCACTGAGCCAAACCGGTTTTGGCTGCAATTTTAAGTCCTGTTTTAACAACCACATCTCCCCCCAAAATATTAAGTTGGATCCTACACACTAGGAGTATTAGAAAAATAAACACATTAAAGAGCAATGGAGACTTATTTTTTTTTTTTAAAAAAAGATGTATTCTGAGCATTGTTTGAACATTGACTATCAGATGCTAGAAAGGTACTATATAAAAACAGGAATTCCTTCCCAACAGAAACTGTATCATAGTAATTAATATACTTCTTCAAACTACTGCCCCTTTCCTAGTGAATCACATTATGCTGTAGATAAGTGTGTGCATGGAAACCTTAGGGATGAGGCTTAGGAAGCTGGATTTTTAATATGCTTCCCAGGTACCTCTGTTGAAAACTTGGTTTTGAAACCATTACTGTAGGTATTGAATTAGCATTAAAAAAAAAACCCACTGATAGCAAGAGGAAATGAAGATTCTCACTCAATCTATAACTTCTATTTTTATGCCCAATAAATTCCATAACATGAGATTCTATTCCTCTGTTAAGATCTGCACACGTGTATACAGCTATAAAACCTTACCACAGAAGGAGCAAGTCCTTTTGAATTCTGTTTCTTCTTAGGTTTGGAAGGGGTTTGCTTGTCTAAGGTATTGTGAGCACCACTGATTTGATTCACTTGCCTATAAAATCCATCTGAAAGATATGCCAAGGAAATTTATTTAGTTTTCAGAATGTTATTCCTATGCTGAATGTAACATCCTATATAATAAAAGTGTAATATGCTAAGTGTCCAACCGAACCACTTAACCAGTTGCTATGATACATACTGACCACCAGGGGACAGATGCTCCAACTGGTATGTTAGCTTGCTGCTGGGGTCCAGCCGATCGGGACTGAACAAGAGGGCCGGCCATGCCCTGGAGCACTCCCGCAGTTCCACCCCAGCCCCATCAGCCCTGACAGCACCGATCAGGCCGGCCTGGCTGAGGGACCCCAACCATGCATGAATTTATGCCTGTGCCTCTAGTTTATATATAACATTTCAAGATTAATTACATTCTTTATTAGATTAGTGAAATTCGAAGCCAGCAGTGCTACCACATTACATCTTTTGTGTTGAGATTATAATGTGTAAAAAGAAATAAGCACACAGATGTTTATAAGTTTTATTCATAATTGCCAGGATTTGGAAACAACCAAGATGTGCTTCAGTATTTGAATGTATGAAGAAACTGCGGTACACCAGACAATGACATATTATTTAGTGCTACAAAGTGAGATTCTGTGCCATAAAGAGACACAGAGGAACCTTAAATGCATATTACTAATTAAGAAAAGCTAATATGAAGGGCTACATACTGTATTTATGACATTTTGGGAAAGACAAAACCACGGGGGAGGGGGGGAAACAAAGCCATGCAGACAATAAAAAAATGAGTGGTTGCTAAGATTGGGGGAGGGTAGGATTAATAGGTGGAGTAGAAAATATTTTTAGAACAGTGAACTATCCTGTATGATACTATAATAGTAGATATATGTCATTTTATACTTGTTGAAACCAATAGAATATAAATACTAAGTGTGAACCCTAGTGTAAAGTATAGATAGACCTTGAGTGATAGTGATGTATCCATGTAGGTTCATCAGTTGTAACAAATATTTAACTCTGGTGTGGATGTTGATAGTGGAAGAGACTGTGTGAGATGGGGTGTATCAGTACAAAGGGAATGCTCTATACTTTCTGCTTAATTTTGCCATATAACTAAAACTGCTCTATAAAATAATCTGTTAAAAATATTTTTTTTAAAAAGGAAAAATGATCATTAGTTTCTGCTTAACGGCATCAATGGACAAGGTGAGCATAATTATATTTAATCTAATCTAATTCTTTAAAGCCAAAAAAATTTTAAAAGATCATTTACCAATGAGCCCATGATTTAATAATTTCAATTCCATCAATCATTTAGAAAAACAATATAATTCAGAAGACAATATGAGGTAAATACAGAGGGTAATACTGGCAACCATCGTTAAGATCATGAGCATTAGAACAGTAAGCAGAAATAAAGGATTGTGAACATGTGCCCCCTAGTGGTTATCAAATGAATTCAATAAACCTTTCATTAAAAATAAGTATGGACAGGCCACATTTATCAAAATTAAAATGAAACTAGACTACCTTTTTTGTTACATCTGGTGTCCCAGACCATAATGTTGCCATCTCTTCCACCTGTACAGAAAACAGCTGTGGGGAAATAGTTTATCAAGAAATTTAAAAAAACTGTTCAGTGACATATATATTTCAACTTAAGTTTCCTAGAGTATCTATTATATTCTAGGTTCTATTATTGGCACTGGAGATTAAAAATTTTAAATATATGGTTCAACAAAAGTAAGAGAAAACAAAGTTGTGAAGGTAAAGAATTACAAAAAAAAACTCAAAATACATGTTAAATATTAAACAAAAACTCAATAGAATAATCCCTGTGTAAATTTTCTTAAACCACATAAAACACTGTATATATGGTAAAGTTAGAGTAAGAATGATAAATAAGCAATAACCAAAATATATTGAGGGCTTACTAAGTGCTATACACTACCCTAAGTGCTTTATATAAATTATCTCAATCCTTGGTATTAATCCTGTTAATGGGTATTATTATTCCCATTTTACTGGGAAAAGAGAAAACTAAGGCACAGAGGAAACGAATAATTTGTAAAGGTATTCTTGACAGTATGAATCCAGAGCCCATACTCCAAACCTCCAAGTTGTACTGTCTCAGTAGAAAACCATGGGGCAGATCCAAACAAAATTTGTGAAAAGGGTTGCCTCTGGGGTGGAAGAAGGGCAATGGGATTAGAGAAGAAAACATAGAGGAACTTTAATTTATTTGCAATGTACTATTCTTTAAAATTAAGCCAAAACAACTCTGCTTCTGTATGGAAGAGTGGGCACTTACCAAACCAATCCACTTGCATTAGCTTTTAAACTCTGGAAAAAAAATATAAAAAATGACCTGAGGGCTCTATAGAGATTGAACAAAAACATGCAATTTTTGGAGAGCCAATAACTGAAGCAAGTGATTGGCTTGGGCTAAGTTACTGGTCTTTTGTGGTTTTATCTTGAGGGCAGCCAGTGGCAAGCAACTAAAATGCCAATAGAAAAACCTGCCATCTTCCAAGCCAGAGAAATGGAAAAGGAGAAGTTGGGCAACCAGAGCTGCCAGAGGGAAGGGAAAACCCTAAAGAAAGCCAGAAAAAGGGAAGGCCTGATTCTGTGTTTAACTCAGGATAAGTTTCTGGCTGACTCCTGAACCATCTATGAAGGGAAAACTTACAGCAGCTTGCAAGTAAGACTTAAATTGCTGAACAGAATTGAGATAGAATCCAATGCCCTATTGCAGGTTTGATAACATACAACTTGAGTCTTACTCAATTAATTGACCATTAGAAAAAAAACATCAACTCTTCCTAAGCAATATAACAGAATTCAGAGTCCAACATACCATTCACAGTGCCCAGGACATAGCGAAATTATCTGACATATAAAGAGTTTGGAAAACGAGTCATCCTCAAGGGAAAAGACATCAACAGACGCCAACCTTGAAATAACTCTCATGTTGCTTTATCAGATAAGATTGTAAAGTAAAAATAACTATGTCAAATGAAGTAAAGAAGTAGACATTTACATTGAAAAGATGAAAAATCTCAGCAGAGAGCTTATAAAAAAGAAAAATTTAGAACAGAAAAAACAATTTTTGAAATGACAAAATTCACTGGATAACTTCAAGAGCAGAATGAAGAGAACAGAGAAAAAGTCAGTGAACTTGAAGCTAGAGCAATGAAATCATTCAACTCGAGGTAAAGAAAATAAGATTAAACATTACACCAAATGAAAGAAGCCAGTCACAAAAGACCACATATTATATAGTTCCTATTTATATGAATGTGCAGAATAGGCAAATCATTAGTCAGTGGCCAGTACAGGGTTTAGATTTTAAGGGACACTCAGAATTGAACAGGGGTATAGTAGCTATAATAAATCCTTACCTTATCGGCAAGGTTATAGAAAAAAATTACCTGACAATGTTTGACTTTTAAGGACAAGCTGGAGATAATGTCCATAAGAGTAAGACTAAAACCCAACTTAATTTTATTTAGGTTTTCAGTCATATTAGAATCTCAATCATCTATATACATAATACAACAACTTTGATAGCAGAAAATGAGGAAACAATTATAGTTTCTTATTACCCCACTGTAAAGGAGGTTGAAGAATGGAAGAAGACAGGTACAAACCTACCTTTCTCATACTTAGAAAAGGCAACTGACTTGAGACTGCACTGATGACCTTTGCATGTTCCAAGCAGCTCACCAGCTTTTACATCCCAAAATTTGGCCAATTGATCACCAGCTGCTGTAACCTTTAAAAAATGTTATCACAATTGAATAAAGCAACCGTTAACCATCTACTCACATCCAAATAAAATGAAAGCCACTTACAAGTTTAAATTCACCTGGGACCCAGGCCAGGTCAAAGACAGCATTCCAGTGAGCCATCCATTCTAAATAAAGAAAATAATGAATGTGAAATATATAGATTATGTCCTGGGGTAGTCATATCAATAGCAATACAGTCTTGAAATCTGTAGTGAAAAAATCAGTGGTCAGCACCCTAAGGTCCACTGGCCAAAGAGCATTACAATGGAGAAGGAAGATTTAAAGATTGATATGATACAAAACATCCCCACCATTACCACATTTGATATCAAATTCCTTTCCATGAGGTGACTGGTAATATATTCTCTAAAATAAAATCTTTCTGAAACATTTTCCAGTTCAAAAATCTTTATCCTGCTCTCCGAAGAGTCTAAAGTACTTTAGTTTGACACCTCAAGGTTCTGTAGGACTTGTCCTTTATCACAAGATTTATCTTTCACTGTTCCCTACATACCACATTCAAATGAAAATGAATTACACCCTATTTCCTTATTATATCCTATTCTTTCTTACTTCTAGATCTTTGCTAATGCTTTTCCCTCCACTGGGAGTATCCTATTCTAAGGCCATTGGTCTAAATACCAGTCCAACTCAAATATCCTATCCTTCAAAAAATTTTTCCTCCCCTTCTTTAGCACATGAGGACTTGCTCTTTGACTTCTATATCATTTACAGTGTTTGTTTTAGTTATTTCAACAGATGACTTAGTAGTTCCAAATTATCAGCTTCTTAAGGTCAACAGAACTTAAGTCTTATAATATGAAAGATGCTTGGTCAATATAAGTATTTTAAAACAATGTTTCTCCCAATGATATTAAGTGTAAAAGATTGAACCTTTTTAAAAGAACCTATAACGTATTTTTCTTAATCTTCAGTAAAGTCATGCCATAATTAACATTTACTGGAAAAAAAAAAAAATAGCCTGGTCCTTAAACAAGACTTAATCAGAAGTGAATATATTTGGGAAAATGTAGTCAAATAATAATTTACTTGAGGCTATATGAATTTAAAATGGTAAAACAAAAATCTTAGACCTAGACTTACCTTTAACACACGTTTTTCTATATGTTTGTGATTCTGTGTTATATAATCTAACGAAGCCTTCTTCATTGGCAACTGCTAGTATGTGCTTCATATCTGGAACTAAATAAGAAATGAAAAATAGAATGTATAAAGAGTAACATTAATTTTACAACTTATTATAATGTTATCTACATATGTATAAACATATAAGTATATATAACTTACATATAATATAGATTAATTGAAAGTTGCTGGATAAATACAAAGAATCTGTTAGAAAAGAGGAAAGATGATTCTACCCAAATGGCATCTGATATGGTCCAGAGGTAATTTGAATTGAAAATTACTTAAAATTTGCCATATTTTCTAATTTAGTATATGACTTAAAACTACCAAAATTATCTTTGGATAACCTTTTATTTAAAAAAGGGGTGAATAAAGAGTGGTGGTCAAACAAAATAAGAGTGGTACTGGTCAATGGCTAATAAATTATATGATGTAGGTCACCAGCAGGCTGAGTTTATTAGTTTAAAATCCCCTTTTCACAACCTTTTATTTTTCCTGTTTTAGAATATTAACAGTGGTAACAAGTATTCCTATTTCTGTTTTTTTGTTCCCCAAGACATTCCAGAAAGATAAATTCAATCAGATCAAAATAGTTTTCATGATGGCTGAACCTTTGCAACCCTTTCCCTATATTTTTTAAAAAGTGCTATTAGGTCCAGAGATTAAGGAAAGTTTATTTTATGCATCAGAAAGAACAGTCTTAGAACAACTCTATCACCTATTTAACTTTTTTTTTTTGAAAGGCAGACATCTCTGTATACTTTTCCTCTAAGTGTAAAATAGATAATTTCTACCACGCCTTACCAGAAGAGAAAGTGCATCCAAAAGGAGGAACTGGGACTCCTGATTCTCCATAAGAAGTGTGCTCATCATTAGAGTTGCATTGATAACCAGTTAGAAGGGACTGGAGAGGGTACTGTGAAGACCACCCTAAAATAAGATACAATTCCTTATAGAAATCCAATTTATCATCACATTTTAGTACTTTTAACAAATACAGAGATAATTATTTATTTTAAAAAACTTTAGTCGGCTCAGTGGCTAGAACATCAGCCCATGAACTGAATGGTCCCAGATTCTAGTCCAGTCAAGGGCACCTGCCTTGGTTGCAGGTTCCCCAGCCCCGGTCAGGGTACGTGCAGGAGGCAACCAATCGACACCTCTCTCACCTCTCACCCCTCTCTCTCTCTCTCTCTCTCTCTCTCTCTCTCTCTCTCTCTCTCTCTCTCCTTTCTTTCTCTCTCTCTGTCTCAAAATCAATGGAAAAATATCCTCAGGTGAGGGTCAACCAAAGATAAATAAAGAATTAAAAATAAATAAAAAGCTTTATATGCCTAATATAGAACCAGTCACTATCTATAATCCTCTATAATAGTTTTTGGTATTTTCCTAAGAAAGAATGAATGAGCACTCCCAAATTCTGGTAAAGGATTGGGCTTACCATCTAAATAGAGACTCTTGCTAGTACATTTAAGGTTGCTAAAAAAACAAGTGGCCTTTACACATTAAAAAAGATCTCTAACCCTCTGGAGACTGTTTTTAGAGGTCCTAGCACAACATTACTGTAAACTCCTAAGTTACTGGCAACATCATACATAACCCAATGGGTCACAGAATTAAAGGAAATAATTTATGTCAAATGCGTCTACTAATATATTCACAAGTTGATTATTTAAAAATATATATATTTTATTGATATTTTACAGAGAGGAGGAAGGGAGAGAAATAGAGAGCTAGAAACGTCGATGAGAAAGAAACACTGACCAGCTGCCCTTGCACACCCCCTACCGGGGATGTGCCCACAACCAAGGTACATGCCCTTGACCGGAATCGAACCTTGGACCTTTCAGTCCGCAGACCAATGCTCAACCACTGAGCCAAACCAGTTTCAGCCACAAGTTGATTATTAATCTCACTTCCTTTTTCCTTTCCAGTGCTGAAATTCAAGTAATAGTATCTTGAAGTATATTAAAGTAATTTTAAAGTAAAGCATTATGTACCTATCCCTAGAGTACAAGCAGTCAGTCTTGGCATAGTAGGAGGGTCAGGGAACTCTTTAGAGGAGGTAAAATCAAACACAAATCTTGAAAGATTATTATGTTTTCATTGAATATACAAGATAGGGGAAGAATTTCAGGGTGGAGGGAGTGTTTACTCTGCTTGGGTCAGAAACCTAACGTGCACTATGGTTTAAAAAGTAAAACATCTTCAAAGATCTATCATTTTTATATGTGGGTCAAAACATTTTAAATATGAGTATATATAAAACGAACATGGATTCAATATAGTTACTGAAAATCAGATGTTTATTAATAAATGCAATCCAGATTTAGTAATTATTCCTGAGGATTTTATCTCAAGGTCAGATATCATTATAAATTAGCCATTAATTATTGCAAAAGAATGCAATAATTATGTTGTAGAGTTAAAAAAAAATCCATCCACAGAAAGAATTTAAAAACAAAAGATTCTGTTCTAAAGTTATATGAATGTTGCTAGTTGGATAGAGCATCAATCAGCCTGTGGCTGGAAAAAAGGTCCCCAGTTTGATTCGGGTCGACACAAGCCCAGGTTGCGGACTCAATACCCAGTAGAGGGTTTGCAGGAGGCAACTGATCAATGATTCTCATCATTGATGTCTCTCTCCCCCTCTCCCTTCCTCTCTGAAATCAATAAAAATATATACTATACAGCAGTAAAAAAGAAGAATCTCTTACCCTTTGAGACAGCATGGAGGGATCTGGAGAGTATCATGCTAAGTGAAATAAGTCAGTCAGAGAAAGACAAGTATCACATAATCGCAATCATATGTAGAATCTACACTGAGTGGCAGATTATTATGACTTCTGAACGCATAATAATTTGGCCATTCAGTGAGAGAGAGAGAGAGAGAGAGAGAGAGAGAGAGAGAGAATGTATGTGTGTGTGTGTATTTTAGAGGCCCGGTGAATGAATTCAGGCATGGATGGGGTCCAGCCAGCCTGGCCAGGGGGAGGAGACTTGGGCAGTTGGCCAGGCTGCCTGCTGGTCGAACTCCTGGTCAAGGGGACAATTTGCATATTAGCCTTTTATTATATAGGATATACACTGAGTATCATAATAATCTGGCCACTAAGTGTAAATAACAAAATAACTGATAAACGGAGTGGATCCAGACATGGAAGCATGGAACAGAGTTCAGAATATCAGAGAAAAGATGGGGGAGGATGGGTGGGTGGAAGGTAATTAATCAAAGACTTTGTATGCATATATATGCATAATCCATGGATACAGACAATAGGTACTAAAGGCCTGGGGTGGGAGTTGTGGGCGGAGGGAGTCAATGGGGGAAAAAGGGGACATGTGTAATACTTTCAACAATAAAGAATTTCTTTAAAATATACTTTTTAAAAAAGTTATAGAAATGCCCAGGACCGGTTTGGCTCAATGGATAGAGCGTCGGCTTGGGGACTGAAAGGTCCCGGGTTGGATTCCGGTCAAGGGCATGTACCCTGGTTGCGGGCATATCCCCAGTAGGGGGTGTGCAAGAGGCAGCTGATCGATGACTCATCGATGTTTCTGACTCTCTCTCCCTTCCTCTCTGTACAAAATCAATAAAATATCTTTAAAAAAAAAAAAAGTTATAGAAATGCATACTTGTGGTTTAGGATTTTTTAAAAAATCTAATAACTTCACACTTATTCAAAAGAACTGAATTTGAATAATTTAGGTGAAATTGAAGATAATATGTATGCTATGGAGATTTAATTCTTTACAATTAAACATTGACTCCTGTCAACTCTACCTCATAACCTACAGACCAATATCCAAATATTAACAAATGGCCTAACATGACTTAGTAACTAGTCCCCTTCATTTCCAGACCCTTAAACTACTTTTGAATTAGTGTGCTATGCTGCTCCCAACATGAACTTCCCCCACAACACTTATTTGAAAAGCCTATCACTTATCCAATGTACAATTTAAAATTACATGCAGATTTTTCAAGGAGTATCTAAGGACATGAATTTTCAGAGAATCAATTTCCTGATGCTCAAATTCCATGTATAAACATTTCTAAAATGATCATCTGAAAGGATTGAGGCTTTTTTTTCTCCTCTCCCTTCATCACTGTCTTCCACTTTCAAAAGAAAGGTATTTCCATGCCCCAATTTTATACCTTGTGGTATCCCAAGGTATAAAATCTGGGATCCCAAATGAGAGACAACCGGATACTCTCTTTAGTAAAGACGTGATGAACACACAAATCCATTGCCTAAAAAATATACTTCCAATAAAATTTTAACTTTTTGCTTAGTAATTCCTTATCAAAATTAAAAATATATAGTTTTGATTAACTGCATACTAATATTGCAATGGTAAGTCAATCCAGATGAACTTGAAACACACAGAGCCTTACAATCACAGATAATATCAATTCAAATGTATTTTTTTACAAAGAGAAATTTGATAGGGTGATCAATCAAATTTCCAAGCTTAAAATAAAATTACATTAGGGTAAATTTGGTGGGAGAAATAAAGTGGAAATAAGTTCAAGGGAGAAAAGCAACTATATACCATGTTTCCCTGAAAATAAGACATCCTCCGAAAATAAGACCTACTTACAGATTTCCTTCTGAGTGAAATATAAGGCATCTCCCCGAAAATAAGGCCTATCTCCAGACTCTTGATATTGCAATAAACAAGCCACGCAAAGACATGGAAATTAATGACTACATTGAAAATAGAATGGAGAGAAATCAGCGTGGAAACTTTGTGAAATCTAAACTGCAAGAAGTTGTGACTTGGGTGAAGGATTCATGGGAGAAAATCACTGACAGTTGCATTGCAAATGCACTGTGACCAGGCTACCTTGACAAGAAATACTCATTTAAAGACAGTGCTATTGCTAAACATGAGAGATTTGGTCTACTGATTCTGAAAGAAATGGAGTCACAAGAAATTCACCAGGAAATTCAGGAATTGGACTGTTATGATGATGTTCCAGAAGATGATGACATGATTGTCATTGAATAAATGAGTAAATTCTTGATACTGTAGGATTCACAGTTTATCTGGTTTGTGTTGACAACTACCATACTACTGTTCCGTATACAGGTAATAAATTTCTTTTATTTTCATTTAACAATAAATGTGTACCGTATTCTTCTTCATGGAAAAATAAGACATCCCCTGAATATAAGACCTAGCGCATCTTTGGGAGCGAAAATTAATATAAGACACTGTCTTATTTTCGGGGAAACGGTACAATATCTAAGTTTAAAATAGTTCATATTTTAAAAATTATTTTTGCAGTTATCAAATAACTATAGAATTTACATTCTTTAGATACATTTTAAAGAGTAATATACTATTTTTATTTTAAAATGTCAATATTTATAATATGGCCAGAAATTAAGTTCTTTATATTTGTTTTAACTTAGGATGAAAACTTTTAGGTACCAATTTAAAAATACACAGAAGAGTAATCAGATTCCCATTTTAGAAATAAAATTGTCAACAATGTGGAGAATAAACTAGAGAGAGGCCACTTGGGAGACCTGTTATAATCCAGACCAGAAAAGTATCAGGGCCCAAACTAAGGAAATGGAATGGTAAAAATAGAACAGATCCAAGATAAGGTGAAGAGGCAAAATTAGTGTGGAAAGAGAGGTCAAGAGATTATAAGGAAAGTTTCTGGATGTGTATCTTGAGGAAAACGGAGAAATTTTTATTAACTCTCAGGTTTCTGGCTGGGCAGACTAGTTTAAAATAATGGAACTACTGCCAAAATAAGTAATACTGCTTGTTTAGGGAAAAAAGTCAATTCACTTTAGGTATTTGAGTTTGAGATGCCCGTGGCACTGACCATCTGGGTAAAGATGCTCATACAACTTTTATATGACTGGATATAACAGTTTTGGGAAAGGCAGGTTGCAGTGGAAGGAGCCCTGGTGAAGGTTATGATCATCCATGGGAGTAGACAGGAGATAACGAGCCTAGGATGGAACACTGACAGGAAGGGGAAAAGAGAAAATGGTCCTATCATGTTCAGTGCATAATATATAAGGATGAATGAATGTCAAAGCCTAACACATAACAATGAATGAGAATTTATGAGAGGCTGGGAGATATAGAGGATAAATTGGAGAATTAGGAGAAAATGTGTTACAAAATCAAGGCTAGAGTTTGCCTCTGGTCACACAGATAAAGAGTGGAACTGGATTTAAAACTTAGGCATTAAAAAACAGTAACAAAAAAATGCAGGCATTTTATCTCCAAACTCAAAGCTCTTAATCACTGTGTTATTGACACTCATGACAGAGAAGTTACTCAAGCAAGGTCCCTGTATAAACAGAAAGAGGGGCAATTTAAAGTATGATTTAAAATATTGTGCAAGAGGGAAGTAGGTCAGGAAGATATAAAGTTTTAGGGTGGTGGCAGAAAATTGAGGGACTACTCAGTCTCCTTCTCAAAACCCTTTTCCTAAAAGACCAGCAATTTTCAACCTTTTTCATCTCATGGCACATATAAACTGATTTCTAAAATTCTGCAGCACACCAATATATATGTATATTTTTTGCCAATCTGACAAAAAATAAAAAGGTATGATTTTGATCTGTTCACACTGGATGGCTATTGTTGTGTTGGCTGTTGTCATTTTCTTTTTTGACAAACTAAGGGAAAAGAGGTCAAGTGCCCTGACTAAATAGTCAGGCATTGCATGGTTTAAATTTTATTTTTTGCAGCACACCGGTTGAAAATCGTTATCCTAGACCTATCCCTTAAATGTAAAAAGTTCCCTTCTCATATTCTTTTCTTTCTGTTTTCCACGTGATTTTCCCCCCCACGTGGTTTTAAAGAGAAAGAAGGCTTCTTTAAAGGAATGAAATTTCATTTCTATCCAAGCTTAGTCTAGATAGTAACATCCTTATCAGAAAGTTTCCGAAGCACACCAATATATATATATATTTTTTTGCCAATCTGACAAAAAACAAAAAAGTATAATTTTGATCTGTTCACACCGGACGGCTATTGTTGTGTTGGCTGTTGTCATTTCCTTATTTGACAATCTAAGGGAAAAGAAGTCAGTGGCCCGACTAAATAGTCAGGTATTGCATGTTTTAAATTTTTTTTTCCTTGCAGCACATTGTCCTAGACCAATGCTTTAAATATAAAAAGTTCCCCTCTCAAATTCTTTTCTTCTTTTTTTTTCCCCCCCTCCACGTGGTTTTAAAGAGAAAGAAGTCCTATCCTTCATTTCTATCCAAGCTTAGTCCCAGGAGTAACTTTCCTAATCAGAAAGTTTCAGGTCGATGACACCCAAACCTAGGCTCAAAATTCTTAATTGTCAAAGTTTTAACTTAAGGATCCTCAAGAACTATACAGAATAGGTTAGATTTCTGCATACTAATATAGAAATATTCCCAAGTTACACCGTTAGCGTAAAACACAAAACAAAAAAAATAACAATACATACTACCTCCGGCATTAAAAAAAACATCTTGGGAAAATATACTGTTCAATCTATTTAATAGTGTTCATCTCTGGTGGGGTGTGATTATGGGCATTTTTCACTCTATAATTTCAAATGTTTATGCATATGAAGTAATCAGGGAGAGAGAGAGAGAGAAAAAAAAAAAAGCTTTCTTGACCATGCTAGGAGCAGATGTTCTGTCTCCTCCGCTTGACTGGAGTTCCTTAACAGCGGGGTCAGATTCGCTGATGCGAAAGAATAAATATTAGGGCTAAGATTCTGCAACACATTCATCAATGCATACGAGTCGCCTCCATCTCACATAGCCGACGAGAAACACGCAGACACGCGCGCACACATACATGCACGCGTTTTCCACCAAACGTGTTAATATAGGCATACGCCGTAAAGGAGGCCATTTAAAAGTTCACTTTCTCCCCCTTTCGTCCGCCTACATGTTAGTTTTAAAAATGGAGACTCCGATCCCAAGTGTCCCGAGGGGCGTGAAAGCGCGGCTGCTCTCTCCAGTCGCCTGCCTGGTCGTCGGAGAACTCGGGGCTGGAGCTGGGAAACAACTGGATTCGGCCTTGGTCCGAGGTGTGGTTTCAGGGGGGGAGGCGAATCCCGCCAGCCGCGAGCAGCGGTTAGGGCCGTTACTCACCATTTCTCGGGAGGCCAACCTGGGGCTGCCGGAGCACCGAATTGAAGAGCATCTGGGCCGGGGGGGAAAGGCGCAACCGAGAGGAAAGTCGTCGAGATGCCACCGACGCACCACAAGTCGCCACTCGGGTCCTGCAGAAGAGGACTAGTTATAGCCTCCAACTCCCGCCACTGTAAGCCCCGGCCACCAAACTCCCCGCCAAACTGACGTCACGCCCTCTGATTGGCTCTCAGCGCGGCGTCCGGGCGCCGTCGACTCACTTCCCTCGACGAATCCCCGCCTCCTTTTCTCCCAGCCGCGGGAACCTGGCGCTCGGGAGGCCCCAGGGCGCCTGCGCGGGGGCGGCGCTGAGCCGTTGGCGAACGGCGTGGTGGCCAGGGCGCATGCGCACCACGACTTTGAGAGCGCGCGGAGGGAACTATCCGCGAGAAGGTGGTGGTGGTGGTGGTGGTGGAAGAAGATGGCGGTGATGGGGCCGAGTGTGCATATTTCTGAATAAGGGTAGTCCAGGAACTATCGGGGGCCATGGCGTCCAATTCGACTAAGTCTTTCTTGGCAGATGCCGGCTATGGCGAACAGGAGCTGGATGCTAACTCTGCCCTTATGGAATTAGACAAAGGTATTCAAAAGAGCGGGCGGAGCGGGGGTGATGGATGCGGGGGGAGTGGCGCCCCCGGCCGGGGATAGCCTCGGGCATGCGCGTAGCTTCCCCAGCCCGGGGGCGGGCCCGCGTGCTTTAAAAGATTGCTGGGAAATTGCCGCGTTGCCGGATTGGCCTTGCACAAATCGAGCTAGTAGTAGCTAGCGAACTCTGGGGAGGGCCCGTTTTTGACCACTTGGGGGCACCGTATCCCGATTTTCCAAGCAGTGTTTTGTTTTGTTTTTAAATTGAAAAATTATTTTTCAGAACGTTCCATTAAGATCATGTTTTCACCAAAATGAATAATAATGGTGCACCGACTTCATAGCGATTTATTTGGGTCCTGTAGCTGTTACTTAGCAGTTACTGGGCAGGTTAAAAGACAGCTGAGACCATCCGAAAGCCATCCCCTGCTCCTTCTCTGCAGACAGTCCCTAGAGTTCTATTTTCCTTACGAGGATGGGGAGTGGGCGTTTGGTGTACTAGAAAGAGCTTTGAGGTTAGATTGAGTTGAGTTGCAGTTTCACTCATTTATTATCATGGACAAGTCACCTAACCCCCGAACCTCGTTTGGTTTTGTTTTTTGTTGTTGTTGTGTTTTTTTTTGTCTGCAAAGTGGGTACAGAAACATTGAGCTGACAAGATTGTTGTAAATATTAAATGATATAGAATTTATGGAACAAAAAATATACTAGGTGATATAGTGGTATGCAAAATAAGCCTTTATTAAGTGCTAAAAAGGGATATGTCTTCTTTCTTAGGTATGAATATAGAAGACAAAGCCAGATATTTGTCAGTATAGAACTCAGGTATTAAAATGAAACCTGTTTCAGTATACTTCAAGGATTTTTATTGAATGAGGAAAATATTTTGTCACCTGCTATATATATATATATATATATATATATATATATATGTGTGTGTGTGTGTGTGTGTGTGTGTGTGTGTGTGTGTGTTTATTTCAGAGGGAGGGAGAGAGAGGGAGAAAGGGATGGAAACATCAGTGGTGAGAATCATGGATTGTTTGCCTCCTGAATGCCCCAAACGGGATAGAGCCTGGGATTGAGCCTGCAACCCAGACATGTGCCCTGACCAGGAATCTAAATGTGACCTCCTGACTTGCAAGTCAACTGAGCCACATCTGCCTGGCACAGTTAGTTTTTAATTAACTATAGTCAATGTGTAGTGTATTCAGAACTGGATTAAAGGTTAGAAGAATCTATGTCCACTATGAACCATTTCCCAGATTTCTGACATGGACACTCTACTAACCTTGGGAGGACCATGTGTGTGTGCGTGCGTGTGTGTTTCTTTTTTAAACTGTAAACATTTTCAGTAGGTTGGTCAAGATAGATAAGAGTTTCTCAGCCTTTAAAATTTTTTTTTGTTGGTGGTGGTAATCCTCACCCAAGGATATTTTTCCAATGATCTTTAGAGAAAGTGAAAGGGCAGGGGAGAGAAAGAGAGAAACATTGATGATGTGAGAGAGATGCATCAATTGGTTGCCTCCTACATATGCCCCAATTAAGCCTACAACTGAGGTATGTGCCCTTGATGGGAATCCAACCCAGGGCCCTTCAGATCGCCCGCTGCTCTATCCACTGAAGTAAACCAACTAGGGCAGTTTCTCAAACTTTTTAAAAAAAAAAGAATTTCTCAGACATTTAAGCCTTTAACTCCTTTTGACCAACAAAAAATGTTACAACATCCCAACTCAATTCACTATTCTTTTGGTTGAGTCCCAGAATCTTGAGTGTATCTCCTCCAATCAAAAAATAATGTGATCCCTAGCTGATGTGTCTCACATCGATGTTTCTCTCTCTGTTTATCTCCCCCTCCCTTCCACTTTCTCTGAAAAATCAATGGAAAAAATATCCTCAGGTGAGGATTAATAACAACAAAAAAGAAATTAATGTGAGCTCTGCTTCTCTTTCCAAAGCTATAGGCTTTTCTTCTTCTGAAGTATTAAGTTATAACACTAAGTGTTTTTTAAAAACTATACAATCTTGGCTCTCCCTCCAGGAGGCATGCCTTTCCCTTACCCTTGCCCATTCCTGTCCCAGGCATGTTACTATTAGCTTTCTCACTCCCAAGCTCTAAGGGACCTTCCTTCAACTCTATACCTTGTTTCCTAAGCCCAATTTTTCTACAAATTATTTCTTCTACTTCTGTGATTTTATACAATTGCAATTTTTAAAGAATTAAACAATTCTAGGTTTCTCATTTCTTTAGAGCCCTATAACATCTTTTTTACAGCTATCATTATGGGATGAGCCCACCTGGACCAGAGGGGTAGTAGAAAATGTCTTTTTTAATATAAACATATATTTTATTGTTTTGTTTTTTTTACAGAGAGGAAGGGAGAAGCATAGAAAGTTAGAAACATCGATGAGAAAGAAACATCAATCAGCTGCCTCCTGCATACCCCCTACTGGGAATGTGCCCACAATCAAGCATGCCCTTGACTGGAATCAACCTGGGACCCTTCAGTCCCTAGGCCAATGCTCTATCAACTGAGCAAACTGGTTAGGCCTGGAACCTTTTTTCTTTGTTAACATAAGTATTTACCAACTGATGATCATTGGTGCCAATTCAGAAACAACAGGAATCTCCAATTTGGGGTGTGGTGAAAAGGAATCTTTATTCAGTGCAAACAGTTCAATAGTAATACAGCACAGCCATGGAATAGCTCAATAGTGTTTCAGCTCAATTATGAGACAGGATGGTTGTGGAACAGCATGACTAAGGTTGCCCTCATGTGAGGTGGCAAGGTGGCTCACCAGTTCAGCATTCAGTGGAAAGGGAAAGTCTGCTACTCAAGCCAGAACAGGACTGACTTATTAGAGAGAAGTACCTGCCACTTGTCCCCGATTGGTCAGAGTAGGGATGCTCTGATTGGTTGGTGAAGATGTTAATTGGGATATAGCCACAAACCTCTGATTGCTTAGGGAAAGTCTCAGTCCTATTGGATCAAATCTCTTACTGATTTCTGATTTAATTATTATGATCAAAGGACATATTTGGTATGATTTTAGTCCTTTTAAATTTTTTGAGATATACTTTCTGGCCCCAAATATTCTTAACTCATTTATAATCAAATTTTCCTATTAAAAATTATTTTTCATTTTTTTTTAACTCAAAGTGACAGTATGCCAAATTACTATTTTATGTACCATTTTATTTTTTTTAAAGGCAATGAACTACAGTTGTAGTTTACCTAGTCTACACTAATAAAAGAGAAAGATGCAAATTGACTGTACCTTAGCAATGCCTATCTGCCAAGCAGAAGTGAGTATGAAAAGTAACCCAACAAAGATGGTGGGTTAATTTGCATTCTCAGGTGCTGAGTGGCAAGGGGTGGGACACAGGTGTTCTACACCACCCCTGCATTCCAGGCCTCTGGGCAGTGTGGGAAGGCAGAAAGGTGGCTCCGAGTCGGAGCCAAGGTGGTGCCAGCAGCCAGGGAAAGGAAGGCCCATTTTTGCAGGAATCTTCATGCAGTGGGCCTCTAGTTGTTAAAAATTTACTGTTATTTTTCTACATAAATAACTTTACTGGGTAATATTGTGTTAGTATTGTCTATCTTTACTTTACTGTATCCACATGTGTGTAAGCTGTTCTCTTTTTATGTTTTTCTTAGGTCTAAGATCTGGCAAACTTGGTGAACAGTGTGAAGCAGTTGTTCGCTTTCCCAGGCTCTTTCAAAAGTATCCATTCCCTATTCTCATCAATTCTGCATTCCTAAAGTTAGCTGATGTTTTCAGAGTTGGGTAAGTCTTTTGAAAGCCTTATTGTCCTAAAGCACTTTGTTCATATCTCTGTTTTATATTGTGGTCTTCATTCTTTTTGACTTTTAGAACTTCCAACTGATTGGTTATCATTTTAATGGACACAGTATATAGTACTTTTTAGTGGGAGATTTAGTGGTGTTTTAAGCACAAATGAGGAGTATAAATTAGAGAGTTCTTATCTTTTTGTGTAATAGGATTAATCAAATCAAGGCAACCTTGATATATCAGTATATGTTTTGGAAATGCCTGTAGCTTTGTACTGATTATTTTGAGCAGTTTTGGATTTAATCGCTTATTTTATAACGTGTGATAACATGTTATTGTGAAGTGCCTGAAGCATGTAAGCACTGACTAAAAAAACCATTTCTCCCATTTCTTTCTCCCATTCTCCAAGCTCTCATGTGCTTATACACACGCCGAACCAGACTTGAAGGGGAAAAGATGTTGTAGAATTAGCTCTAGAGGGGAGGAAGGCCATCTGAACTGTGGGCCTCGTTTATAGTATGATGAGTTTTAGTTCTGTTTCAGGGCTTCTCCTTGTGTCACTGCCAAAATTGGTGTCTGGCAGCAGGACTGCAGGCATTGCTAACTGCTTATGCTGAATGACCACCTAAAGTACTTTAAAATTTAACTCTTAATGAGGACACAGATAATAAGGTTGGAAAACACTTGCCTGTTGCTACAATTTTATATTAATAGTGTAATTTTGATTCCTGATCAAATATGACTTTCCTAAAGTGGCCTAATTTATTTTATCCCTGGTTTTTCATAGGAACAATTTCCTGAGACTCTGTGTTCTTAAAGTTACTCAACAAAGTGAGAAGCACTTGGAGAAGATTCTAAATGTGGATGAATTTGTGAAGAGAATTTTCTCTGTGATTCATAGCAATGATCCTGTAGCAAGAGCCATCACACTCCGGTATAATGCATTGCTATGATGATTCACCACACGATTGATTGATTTGTAATTATGTAACCAGAAAAGGCAATATACTTACTTTTTCATTTTGATTATTAAAATTTTATTTTTGTTTTTTCAACTGAGACTCAATGTGAAATATGGTAACTGTACTTATTTGTAAATACTTTTGTTTATCATCTATGATGCTGTTTTGCTTGTATTTTGTCAGCTAACTTATTTTTTTTTATAATTTATTTCATTTTTTTATTAAGATATTATATTGGTTGCTTTTCCACCTAACTTATTTTTTTTAATATATTTTATTGATTCTTTTACAGAAACAAGTCACTGCTTGTTTCCTAAAGTTAATGCTTTATTAACCTGGGATTATGGAATTACCTACAAACTTTAGTGTTTTTTTTGTTTTGTTTTTGTTTTTTTAAATATATTTTATTGATTTTTTACAGAGAGGAAGGGAGAGAGAGAGAGAGCTAGAAACGTCGATGAGAGAGAAACATCGACTAGCTGCCTCCTGCACACCCCCCACCTGGGATGTGCCCGCAACCAACGCACATGCCCCTGACTGGAATCGAACCCGGGACCCTTCAGTCCGCAGACCGATGCTCTACCGCTGAGCCAAACTGGTTTCGGCCAAACTTTAGTTTTGATCATCTAGCTTTGCCTTGCTTCTGGCCTTGAGTGTATTGTTTTGCATTTTTTCTGGTTTCTCTGCTTCTGTAGGATGTTGGGGAGCCTGGCATCAATAATTCCTGAGAGGAAGAATGCTCACCATAGTATTCGTCAGAGTCTGGATTCACACGATAATGTAGAAGTTGAAGCTGCCGTTTTTGCTGCTGCCAACTTTTCTGCACAGTCAAAGTAAGCATAGGCCTTTCAAACATTTGGATTCCCAAAGAGAGGTTTTAAAGGAATAACTCAGCAATATCTATAAATACTGAGCAATTCAGAAAAATGTAAATGGTAAAGGGTGTTTTCCACATGGGTTTAGATTACACTGGGGAAGCAAAACGTAAATACATAGAACAGAAGAGTCAAGTACAAATGTTGGCATAGACTACAAATGAAATAGGAGTTTCCAGAAGGTCAGGATCAGCACAATAGTGGAGGAAGGCTTCAGTGGGGAGCAGAGCGTTGTTTCTTGAGGAGCCTCCCCTAGACACACAGCCCTAATATGAATTGCCGCTTTCTTACTGTCTTCTCAAATCATGGCATTAGAGCTGTACATGATTTGACAAAGACAGAAGTAACTTGAATTGAAACCAATTTTCACCTATTTGGGAAGTCATGTTCTTACAGAACATTTTTTTGTTGGGGGCAGGGGATGAAATGTTGATCATGGTCTTATTACTGTGTTAACTTATTCTCTGCAAAAAGTATATTATCCCCTCTAGTGACTTATAAAAGTAGCATTGCTTTCTGGAGGGCATTTGATAAGTATTTTGCCAAATATCCCTTTGACCTAGAAAATCCACTTAGAACTAATCTTAAGAAATCAGCAATGTGTGTTGATATTTATTTGCAAGGATACTAGCTGTGGTATTATAATAAGAAAAAAAATGTTAGTAGCAACCTAAATTCCAACCAGTGTTTGGTAAATATGGTTGTACAGTGGAATAGTACATCAACTCTTAACAACTGTATTTTTGAAATGTATTTAGAAACAGATTATATAATAACTTATGTGATATTAAATTTATTTAATAAAACACAACATACAGATGGAATAGAAAAAAGCTAGGATGTATATCAAAATATTGTCTCTGGGTTGGTAAGATTGTATCCACATTTTTATTTTCCTTTTTATAAATTTCTCTGTATCATGCCATAAGCAAGTTTTGGTTTTATAATCAAGTGAATAATAAATGTTATTTTTTAAAATAAAAATTAGCATTTTCATTAAGAGCATGTGCTACATTTGGGTAACTGAAATAATCAATTTTCTTTCTTCAGCTTTTAAGTATGTGCATATTCTCTTCAGCTGTCTTTTCAAACCTTTAGAAGTTCAAGATTACTCATCGGGAAAGGAGGGTAGAGAATAGAAAGCATACAATTTTTAATTTACTACTGTAAATTAGTAGAAATGGCAGTAATGGAAGAAGAGAAATATCTGAATAAATACAGTTCCTGTTGGTGCATTTGAAAATTGGTAAATGTTTTTATTATTGAGAAAATCATTGCTGTGGAGAGCTTTTTAAAAATTGCTTTTATGATTGGAGGTATTATCTAGTGAGTTATTCACACCTGATTAGCACTCTCAAGGTCTCAGTACTTTATAATGTTAGATTAAATACATACTTCCAGTGACTCCAAAAGTAGTTTTTAAATGTAGTTTCTAAATGATAAGTTTATCACTTAGGGATTAGATTTTATTTATGAGAATCATTTTTTATTCACTTTTTTCCTCCTATTATCAGAAGGTAATTTTATCAGCTGTGGGATTTTTGGTCTGTGTTATGAAATGATTAAGACTAACATAGAAACAGCATTTAAAGAATTGATGACCAGTAAACATTTAAATTAACAATTATGTAGAAGCAATTTTTACCATACCAGGCTTCGGTATACACTTATAATTTGTAATACTAAAAATACCAAGTTAGTTCAATAAAAAGCCTAAAGAACCTATCTAAATGTATGTGAAATAAACAAAATGTATCTTTTTGAGATTATAGTTTACCTCTTTCTCCAGAGAAAGATGACCTGGCGGAAGATCAGATATTTCAACTAATACTAATTGATGTATTTTTATCTTATTTTAATTTTACCAATTTTGAATCTTAAATAAATAAGAGTAACTGGCCAAATAAGACCTTGAGAATTTAATTCTATTCTCCCCCTGTCTACTACCACAACCACATCTGATTTGTTCTCACAAAGGTTAAGATTTTATACTTTTAAAGGACTACTCCAAATCATAAAATAGGAGTTGCATGCAATCCCAGTTGCCTTCAAGGGCTAGGGGAGCATTGTCAATGAGGGAAGTGCCCTCTACTGGCGACTATGGTGAACTTAGTTGCACTCAGTTGAAAAAATGTCTTCAAATCTCTCAAGCCAACTCACTCTTAAGTATAAGAACAATAATTTGCAAATTAATTTTAGAATTAAATATTCTAAATTCTAAAACAAAAGCAATTTTATTTTTTAATATATTTTTATTGACAAAAGCAATTTTAGAAAATCCTTTCAAAATTTTACTGCAAAGCACAACAAAGTATAATTCTTGATATGTTTCTGCATAGACATAAGAAAAACATCAAGATTTCAGAATAATAAGGTTATAAATATTGTGAACGTAGTTAAAGAGAGTAAGAGCACAATGGAATAATTGAAAACAAATAATTAATTTCAGAAAACACAATTATACACTAAACTACCAGAGAAAATTCTAGAAAACAGATGAATATACAATCATGCATTCCATTAGTTGTCAATAGATGATGTCATATATTATGTAGCTTCTGGAAAACTCTACTGTTCACTTGTGAGAATTAAATTAAAAATAACAAATTTGGCTCAGTGGATAGAGCATTGGCCTGGGGACTCAAGGGTTCCGGGTTCGATTCCAGTCAAGGGCATGTACCTTGGTTGTGGGCACATCCCCAGTGGGGGGTATGCAAGAGGCAGCTGATTGATGTTACTCTCTCATTGATGTTTCTAGCTCTCTATCCCTCTCTCTTCCTCTCTGTAAAGAATTAATAAAAATATATTTTTACAAAAAAAAATCATATCTTAATAGCAGGAAATATTTTATTTAGACATCCATTGAATTAGTTTAGAGGAGAAGTAGTTTATGCCTTATGTATCATTTATTATGGTTAAATAAGCCAGGTTTGATTGTATTACTCTATCATGTTTCTTTACATATTATATTTTATCTTATATTCATATTATTAGTACCTTTGCAACATTCTGTGATATTTCTATTATATAGAATCAAAAGCAGCACCCTGCAAAATACTTAACACATATGTAAAGCTAAAAACACATGGCTAATGTAAGAGCCTATTCATATTTCATAAGGTATTTCTATTTGTTTTTCTAAAATTCAGAATATGAGAAATAGTTTTTATTGCTTATGTAGTCAGCTTGTGTATTAAGAGCTTTTCTTAATTTAAAATATATCCTAAAACATAATAGGCTGAGATAGTGAACTTGAATATTTCCGACAGTATCACTCAGTGATGCAAATTGCAACAGCACTCGTAAATCAGAGCATCTTTCCTCAAATACCAAGTGAGAATAGTGTTGGTATGACCCCATTTGCCAATTGGAGTTTTGGTTTCAGTTGCATTTCTTACCGCACCCCTAGCACCTGACATTTGGAATATTAGTTATACTTTGGAGTACGTTATTGGCATTTCTCCGGTGTTTCTTTTAAGTCCTTAGAAAAGCTTAATTATTTGGTTTTAAAATTTTTTCTGTTCTCTCTTTCCAAAGGGATTTTGCCGTGGGAATCTGTAACAAAATCAGTGAAATGATTCAAGGTATGTGTGTCTTATTTACTATTATGAAGTGACTTCATGGGAATTACTAGTATATTAAAGATAGCTGCTAACATTTATTAAGTACTTGTTATGTGCTAGTCACTTACTAATTTATTAATTCACAAAATACTTATTAAGTATCTTATAAGTGCCAGAACTTTTCTAGGTGCTTAGGATACCATAGTGAATAAAACGAAGTCCATGCCCTCACATAAACCTGCATTCTAGTGGTGGAAGGAGGAGGCGTGGCAATAGACAAATAAAAATACGACATATTCAGTGCTACCAAGAAGTAATGTGGATAGTAAATCCCTAGAGTAGATGGTAGGATGGAAGGGGGAACTTTTCTATTTTATATATGGAAGGCCTCTGATGAAGTGATATTTGAGTGAGAAATGCAGATATTTAGGGGGGGAAACACATTTGATTTGGGGGATGGCAGTGCCATTAGCCGCTCTGGGATTCTCTCGTCACTGTACTGATGTCCCTCCACTGTCTTCAGTTACAACTAAAATGCAAATTCCTTTCCATAGTCTACAATGGCCAAGGTTTCTAATGTCATCTTCCATGCTATGGTTCATGTGTACTAACCCCATTTAAAAGGGAGTTCAGGCTACAGCATTGAACAACTTTAGAGAACACCACATCCTTTGATTTTTACCAAATGACATTCTTTTGAATTGTGCAGCTTGGCAGATGTTGGTAGTTAATGCTGTTTTACAGAAAAGGAAATAAAGTCACCTAAGTGCAGGCCAAGATATAGTGGTTGAGTTTTGTCCTGTTTCCCTTTATTCCTTTGTCTTTTCTCTCACCATCCTAAAAGGACTTTCCTGCAGAAAGGGCTAGCTCTAGAAGGAAGCATCAATTTATTGAGCAGATTTTTATTGAATTCTGCTGTATCTGACAAGATCTCAGCAAGAAACAGATGTTACACTTAAAATAATACAAGGAGTGTTTAATGGAGGAACCATTTACAAACATATGGGCAGGGTAAAGTATCTGTGGTAATGCAGTCCTTACCCCTTCAGGATGCAGGGGAGGGAGTGGTTACCAGAAACCTGGAGTCATGTCACTAGGGCCGCTTTGAAAAACTGATCTTCGGTGAACATGACATGGCCCTACAGAAAGGGAACCAGGGAATAAATACTCCGACTTCATTCTCCTCCCTCCCATCTCCTGGGGTTCTGTGCTTTGGCCAAACCCAAATAGAGACCAAATAGCATGGGAGTTTGTTGATGTGAACTACTGTTGAAAGTTGAAATGCTATCATATGTTGACATTTATTTTACAATGGGAAAGTGAATGATTTGCAGAGTATAAATTAGATTCTTACATATATACAGCACCACTGACAATTTTTGTTCTCTATCACCACAAAGCAATACTATTGAAAAAATATTGTTTGTTTGTTTGTGTAGCTCTATTGTTGACAGAAAAAAGATACATTGGAGTTCATCTTCATAGAGTTCAGCTGTGTATGCAATAAAGAAAGGCATTGCTACACAAAGTTCAGAGAGCTTCACAACCATTCCTGCAGTCTATTAGTGTTGAAAGACACCATTTTTAAAATTATAAAATCATAAAATTTTTAGCCATTGAGTGTGTGTGTGTGTGTGTGTGTGTGTGTGTGTGTATATGCTTTTCAGTATGCTATGAGAAGAAATAGGCAGCAAAGTGACTGTTTTCCACTGTGCCTTTTAAAGGCATTTTCTATTGGATGTTGTTTTATAGTCACTGAAACATTAATGTTAAGATAAATATTTTTGGACAAAACTCTGTGCACTGATGGATTATCTCTCACAGTTATCTTTAATGTTATAAACATAATATTAGTATCCGATTTGTTTTTAAATGGATATTGTGCCAATTGATTCAGACCTTTTAAATGTGAGCTATTATCAAGGATGATGGTCAGAAAGCTTAAGAATCCTTTTCGCATCTAGGCTTAGCCACACCAGTCGACCTGAAGCTGAAGTTGATCCCGATCCTGCAGCACATGCACCATGATGCCATCCTGGCCTCCAGCGCTCGTCAGCTTCTGCAGCAGCTGGTCACCTCCTATCCTTCCACCAAAATGGTGATCGTTTCTCTGCACACTTTTACTCTGCTGGCAGCTTCGTCTCTGGTGGATACTCCTAAGCAGGTGATTTCAGTTTTCTTTCAACTGTCTTGTCCTCACTAAATTTGCATATTTAAATATAGGATAAAAAAATAAGTAACCCATAAATTTTAGTATTATTAAAATTCTCTTTCTCTAATAAAGATCTGTTTAATTACTTTTTACTCATTTTTTCCTTCACTATATTCACAATTCTAATTTGGGGGATCTCTTGAGGAAATGAGGTAGAGGTGGGTACATGGCAGAGCATGGGGCATAAAGAAAAGAAAAATTTGAGTGTTAAAGGTCAAGTGCTGGGCTGGAACTGTACAAGTTAAATGATAGTATCGTTTTATATACAGACAGAAAAAAGCCTACACATGGGCACATAGCTGGTAAATGACAGATCTGCAATTTGAAATGAGTCCTGTCTCAAGTCTAAATGTTTTGCTAAACTCCATTGCATCCAAAAAAGATAGTTTCTGTGACAGTACTGTTAACTGAATGATTTTCTCTTATAGATCCAGCTTCTCTTACAGTATTTGAAGAATGACCCCAGGAAAGCAGTAAAAAGACTTGCTATTCAAGATCTGAAATTACTTGCCAATAAAACACCACACACTTGGAGTAGGGAAAACATTCAGGTATGTTTGAACATTAATAATAACTTTAAACATTAATAATTTTTATAGGAAAATAACATACTATTATATATTTTTATATTTATTAGGGTTTTTTTTTGTTTTGTTTTGTTTTTGTTTTGTTTTTTTAGGCCTCTCAGTATACTTTGTCAGAATTTTTCTGGATCTTTAGAAGCAGATTATTTACCTCCCCTCCCCGTTTTGCCAGTTTTTTTATTTGGGTCATATTACATTTATTGTTTAACTTTTCTGAAATTTTATTTTAACTTTCTCCCTACTCTTCTCTTTAAGTTTTACTCACTTTCTGGAACTTTGTGAGAGAATGGCTATTAGTTCAGTTTAATAGGCAGTTAGTTACGTGACCATTTATATCATGTGCAGTCTTGTCAGAGTTCTGAGAGTAAATATACAGAATGAGGCTGAGTGTATGTTTATAGCTTACTAACATTATAAGAAAAACTAGCATATGGTTTTTGGTAACACTTCAGACTGCCTGAGTCCGGAGCAGAGAGGAAATGTCCTAAAATGGGAGGAGGATAGAGAGCTCACTCATAAACTAGATGGGATGTCACACTCTGCTATTTTAAAAAATACATACATCTATGAACTGTTATTCATAACTCTTAGGTAAACAAAATATGGTAGACTGAACAGTACACATGATGACTTTCTAAGAAATAGTCTTTATTTTTTAGAACAGGTATGGATTTACAGAAAAATGGAGACAATACTACAGAGGATTTCTACACACCCCATAACCACTTCCCTGTTATTGCTATTTTATATCAAAGTGGTACATTTGTTAGAATTTACCAATATTGATACATTATTATTATTAACCAAGCTTCATACTTTATTCAGGTTTAATTTTTACCTTTGTCCTTTTTCTGTTCCATGATCCCACCCAAGATAATGCATTATATTTAGTTAACATGCCTCCTTAGGCTCCTCTTGGCTGTGGCAGTTTGACATAAGTTTTTTATAATGGAAAAAAAAAGACATTCATACACAATTTTTCTAAAAGCTAGAAAATTTAAAATGAGTAGACAGTTTTAAAGTATATTGAAACTAGCATCTTGTGTTTTGTGTTCCTTTTCTTCTGCGTTTCAGGCCCTCTGTGAATGTGCCCTCCAGACTCCTTATGACAGCTTGAAACTGGGGATGTTGTCTGTCCTGTCCACACTCTCAGGGACCATTGCAGTCAAGCACTATTTCAGCATAGCTTCAGGTAAGGAGAAGATATCACAGATGGTGTGCTAATCCCTGTATTCACGTTGGTGTTTCAGGTGGTTTCCTTTATCCAGCTTTAGCATCTGGAAAGGTTTTGGTCTCCTGCTTTGTTATATGGTAGTCATTTATTTGAAAATTATTTCTTAACTACTGCTCCTGGTAATAAAATCTTGCATCCTTGATCTTAACTCAAGGATATCATATTCCTATATTTGTTCTTTTTTGAATTATATGTGGGAGCAACGATATTTTTGAGGATGCTTAAAATAGCTGGTTTGCTTTTGTATGTCTGTGACTCAAAGTGCCCTTTGAAGTTAAGAACATTTCAAAGGCCAAGTGATGGTGAATTTTAAAAGCAAATGTCATGCTACCTTTTAGGTGTATGTTATCACTTTGGAAAATGATTAAAATAAAACTCCACCCCAGTTCAGTAATGCTTTCCTGGTTGCCTAATTCAAGATGAATTAACTCCACAATACCTTTATTAATGTCCAGTGTGAGGAGTTTAATTACCTAACTGACTTCAGGCTAAAGTATTTCGTTGTTTTGTTTTAATGCTAATGTTGTGGAATCTTTATTGCTTCCTTTTGTAGTCAATTAATCAAAGAACTATCATGTATATTGTTCCTTTTCATTTTTTCATTGCATATGGACTTACTTGGTAAGGAAAATTCCCTGACACCTAAGTTCCAATAGGACGCTGAAAAGACCTGATATTCTATAGCCAAGCCTTCCTGCCACTAGGGTGCACACTTGTGCCCTGGACTTGCCTAGTCATTTGCATACCAAGGAGTAGTGATGTGGATGAATACATTCTGGTTTCCAGGGCACACTGTAGCAGCGGTTGTTTGCTGTCTTGTACCTTGGGCAGCAGGGTAAGCTGTGACATTAAGATGTCAGTAACAGTGGCATTAATATCTTCACTGGAACTAATTCCATGGATAGTTTGGGCTGTGATTTCACCTTTTCCCCCACGCTTAGTTTTCTAGTCTTTCCAGTAATTTTGTGAGGTGCTCTGTATCAGTTATCTGCTGCTACAGAACAGATCACCTCAAAACCTAGTGGCCTAAAGCCATGACCATTTCATTTGCTCTATTTGCTCTGCTTCTGCAAGTCAGTAATTTTGACTAGTGTCAGCTGGGCGGTTCTGCTGGTCTCACGTTAGCTCACGCATATGATTACAGTCTCTTGGAGCCTTGATCAGACTAAATGGTCTACGATGGCCTCATTCACCAGCTAGAGGTTAAGTGGCTTTTAGCTGAGGCACCTTGGTTCTCCCTACCTTGTGACTCTCAGCAGGTTTGCCTGGGCTATCTCGTGTTCCCAGGGTTATAGTAGCAGCCAAAAGAAGGCAAAACACCAACACACAAGCACTTTTTAGACTTTCGCTTACACATGTTTTTTAATGTCTCATTGGACAAAGCAAGTCACATGGCCAAGCCCAGATAGGTGGAGAAATAAACACCTCTTGATGTGAGGAATTGGAAGATTATATTGCGATGGTACACACCTACAGGGCTAGGCGGGATTGTCAGTCTCTTAATCAACAATCTGCACAAGTCAACCAATCTCATTTTCTTAGCTTGCAGTTATTTAATATTTCTGATTGACATTGCACTTTAAAAGAACTGTAAACAGAATACTAATTGCATCTTATCATTTGTAAGAGCCTTTCCATACAAGGTCTCATTGCTTCTGTAGTGAGGCACATATATAGGAGTGTGTATGTTTTGAAACTGGGGTTTAAAATGTTTTGATATGTTCAATGTCACATACTTATGAAGTGCTTAAGCCTAGGCTTGAGCCTAGGGATTCTGACTTAGTATCCCTTTTATAATAGTAAACTGATCTGATGCAAGATAACTTTCTTTTTCTTTATTTTTTAATGCCAAAGACATTTTGTAAGCATTGTGTCAGGTTATAATAATCAAACACTTTTCATGCTAGATGTTTTGTCTTTTTATTGAATTTTATTAAATTGCAGGTTATAAGTGTGATTAAACAAAAGACTTAAATAACTAAACTAGGTAATGTTCACATGAAGTAAAAGTCTGTACTGCTTTTCTCTGCTTGTTCAGGAAATGTGGGTTCTTCCCCCAGATCCTCTGATTTAGTCAAATTAGCCCAAGAGTGCTGTTATCATAACAACAGAGGCATTGCGGCTCATGGAGTCAGAGTCCTCACTAATATAACCGTCTCTTGTCAAGAAAAAGGTAAGCTTGATCAGAACTGATATGTACAAATTTTTGGTTTGAAGCTTGGGCAGATTTCTATCTGTGTTTGGTTTTTATAATCCCTTATTATTTTTAGCCAGTGTGCTTAGATCTACTAGTTGTCTCCTTCTGAAGGATTCTTAAAGCAAGTTTTCTCAAAACTACTTAATCCTTCAAAATATTTTTTAAAATATGAGGACCTTGGGATTGGGATTGTGGAATTGAAAGGTTCTGTGGACTGTTTCCTATTTTGTTCCACTGTTTACCTTTACACATACGGTGCTGTGGCTAGGGACTGCTGACTGACTACCCTTGGTATAAAGCAATTTGTTCAGCTGTACAAAAGCCTGGAAAATTTAGGAAAAAATATCTTAAGTTATCAAGAGGCTTAATTAACAAATAGTTTCATCTAGAGGCAAGTGAATTAACAGAGCAATGTGAATTAAATTTTCAAGGACTTTATTTCTAGGTATCTAGAGCATTAAACTGATTTGTATATTTAAGAAAGGCATGCATTGAAAATAATGCATAAATTTTATTGTATTCCTAATATCTTTTGACCAAAAGGCTTGGAGAAGTTCAGGCTGATGTTGAGAAACAGGAAATGCATTTTGAACATTCCATCTGTTTCAGTGTTTTCTGATCTTTAGTAAGGATCATATGCTTAGTGCCTTCACTGCTTGTTCCTGGTACTGATTTTTTTTATTTATAATACCCTAACCTTCACTAGCCTTTACACGTTTTGCCAAGCCCTCCACTAACTCAGGAGACATTTCTCTAAGTTATTGATTCTGATTTGAATATTAAACCTTTTTTACTTTTGACATAGTAATGAGTATTTTCCAACATGTAATGTAGAAAACTGCTATATGTTCTTAATGCTGACATATATTAACCTAAATATAGTTAGCTAATATATTCAGAACTTTTTAGAACCTCCAGAGAAACTTTAGCTCTAAGGTAGTGAGAATTGCTGAAAAACTGTTATTACATTAAACATATAAGGGATTTGTTCTTTGTGGTCCAACTTAAAACATTAATATGATTATGTTTTATGTGGGTCCTCATTATTTTCTAAAAGTGGCTCAGTGTCCTGGCTGGGTGCTCAATGGTTAGAACACTGGCCTACAGGTTGCAGGTTTGATTCCCAGTCAAGGCCATGTACATTAGATGCAGAAAAATAATAAATAAGTGGTTCAGCTTTCATTGGGAGCTGAAAGTTATAACATTCTAGGTGAAAATGTATCTATATAATTTATATCTGATTGGAAAGATTAATACATTCTACATGGTTTGCTTTTCCTAGTATTTTCCTCAGCTAATCTGGTGATAGTATTTCAGTTACTATGCTTTATTTAAACCTTTGAGGCTTTAGTTCTTAATTTAATGTGTATGTTTTTATAATCTTCTCTAAAGTAGTAAAAATACGGAAGTCTGAAAATAGTCTTTACATTTCAGAAATGTTGCCAAATTACTTTTTCAGGAAGGTTAGCTTTGCTTATTGAGGTATTTCCTGTATCTTAGATTCCTTAATGTTTTGTTTTTTTGTGTGTATGGGTGTATGTATATGTGTTTGTGTATTTAATTTTTTCTACTTGACTACTATAAAACTTGGTGTTTTTCCTCTAGACCTATTAGCACTGGAGCAAGATGCTGTTTTTGGCCTGGAATCCCTTCTGGTACTTTGTAGTCAAGATGACAGTCCAGGTGCTCAAGCCACTTTAAAGGTGAAAACATCACTTATTTTAATATAATGCTATTTTCATTGCCTAAACTAGGAATTGACAATCTCTCTATAGAAGGTCAGATGGTAAATATATTTTGCAGATTAGATACTATACACTCATTGTTCCAACTACTCATTTCTACCTTTGTAGAACAAAGAGCTATAGACATTACGTACAAAAAGGGTGTGTGTGTTATTTACAAAAAAAAACAGACCAGCAGTTGGCCCAAGGACAATAGTTCATCAATTTTTAACCTTTTTCATCTCATGACACATACAAACTAATTACTAAAATTCTGCAGCATACCAAAGAATATAATTTTTGCCAATCTGACACCAAAAAAAAGGTATAATATTGATTCATTCATACTGTACAGCTATTTTTCTGTTGGGTGTTATCATTTTATTTTATTTGACAATCTAAGAGAAAAGAGGTCAGTGTTCCTGACTAAATATTGCATATTTTAAAAATTCCACACCATACTGGTTGAAAATCTAAGTTTGGGGTGGGTAGTACCCAGGAATCTATTTTTAGCAGCATAGGAAGAAGATGGCATTGATAAATTTACAAACCACATTTTAGAGGCATTTCTTATAAGTAATGAAAGTACAGACATTTTGGCATATATTTTGCCTCTTCAACGTTCTTTTTTATGATTTTCTAATAGTCTTAGATTGCAATGAGTAATTAATGTGCAGTCCTGACTTGTTATTTGGTATTAAACATGATGCATTTTGCATATCCTAATACGGGATCCATTATGTTATGTGATTCTTATGAAGAAAAATGTTATGCCTACCAAAAAACACACACAATTTTTCCTTGATTTTTCCCAGTACCTAATACGAAGTTCTTTTCTTTACAGCTTAATACCTTCAAAGTGTAAGTGGTCTGTTTTGTTTTCAATGTGCAGATTGCTTTGAAGTGTATGGTGAAGTTGGCCAAGGGCAGACCCCATCTCAGCCAGTCCGTGGTTGAGACCTTGTTGACTCAGTTGCACAGTGCCCAGGACGCCGCCCGGATCCTGATGTGCCATTGCCTGGCCGCCATTGCCATGCAGCTGCCTGTGCTGGGCGACGGGATGCTGGGCGACCTCATGGAGCTCTACAAGGTCATCGGACGGTCAGCCACAGACAAGCAGCAGGAGCTTCTGGTACAGACAGAGTCAATTTTTTTTTTTTTTAAATATATTTTATTGATTTTTTTACAGAGAGGAAGAGAGAGGGACAGAGAGTTAGAAACAGCAATGAGAGAGAATCATCATCGATCAGCTGCCTCTTGCACACCACTATTGGGGATGTGCCCGCAACCATGGTACATGCCCTTGACTGAAATCGAACCTGGAACCTTTCAGTCCACAGGCCGACGCTCTATCCACTGAGCCAAACCGGTTTTGACCAGAGTCACTTTTTGATGGTGAATAAGATCTAGTCTAGTGAGGATTACTTTAAGTAGTTAGCTTTACTGTTGGACTTTACTTACAAAGCAAAATAAACAGCAGGTGTAAAGTAATTATCTAAGACCGAGGGAATGCTGAAGTCAAAATAGAATTGGAACCATGAGCTTTTCACTATTTCTCCTTTTGATTTAGAAAAGTCCTATTTAGTTCATATCTAAAACTTCTTTCTTCCTACGCCCTGTCAAGTCAGCTTAGTGTAGCCAAAGCCTTCAATTTGATGCATTTGTTCTATTACAAAGGACAAAATGATAATGGATTTTTCTTCTTTATACAAAGCAAATAATGAACTATACTCTGTTTTGTACTTCCAAAAATATGAGTTAAAGACCTGATGATAACAGCTACCAGAGATTAGCACAGATTCTTCTTTTTCAACCCAGGATTTCTGTAGCTGTTTAGGATCCAGTTTAGGTTTCAGTATAATCCTGGGGTTGGGAAAGGTGTATGCTTGTTAAAAAACAGAAGCCATGGAAGTGATCATATTGTTTAGCTGAAAGTTCTACCAGGCCAAGCATAAGCTACATGCTAAATAGGCATAAATTAGATGTAAGCCTTAAGTTGGCCACTCCATATTGTTTCTGGTCATCCGAATTTAGGGATTGGGAAAAGCTTAATGAAATTGCTTACTCAAGCCTCATTTATATGTCATCCTCCAGGTCAGCAGTCACCAACCTTTCAGACCTCACAGACAACCAGTGGTCCCCAGATCACCCGTTGGCGACCACTGCTCCAAAGGTTTCCTTAAACCGGTTGTCGGCAAACTGAGGCTCGCAAGCCACATACAGCTCTTTGGCCCCTGGAGTGTTCTAACGCCATTTCTTCAAAATAGATTAGCCCAGACCGAAAACCGACTTCTGCGCATGGGCTACGAAGTTTCAATCGCACCTACATGCATGCCCGCACGTGGCATTTTGTGAAAGGGCCACACATGCCTACATGTGGCTCTCGAGCCGCGGTTTGCCGACCACTGCCTTAAACCAACAGTCACCAACCTTTGGGACCTCACCGACCACTAGTTGGCGACTGCTGCTCCAGGGCATATTCTGTAATAGATTACCCCTTTCATTATTTGCTATCAGGAAAGGGTTATCCTGAGGTCCAAGTGGCACTGGTCTTGGGAATGACATCATTCAGTCACCACAATAATATATGGTTTGTATCTGCTTTGGAATACTAAGAAGCAGTTGGCCAAGTTTATTTTTTATTGAAGCAGCATTTTCAACCAATGTTCTTTATCCCTTTTTTGTTAGTATTACTTTAAAGCTATTATGAAACATACTATTCCAAAAATGTAAAGAATTATATGTTGAAAACCCTTGCATTCATCCCTGGCTTAAGAAAAAAATATTACCAGTACAGTTGATTTGTATTTCCCTTTACATCTTCCTCCTAGAGGTAACCACTGTCGTGAATTTGGTGTTTATCATTCCCATGTATTTGTTATATATTCATTACCTTAGTATATATACAAAGTAGCATGCACTATTATTTTCCATATTTTTAACTTTATATAAATGCTACCCTACTGCATTAATCTTTTGTATTTTTCCTATTTTGTTTAAATCATCTATATTGAAAAGTGTATCTCTAGTTTACTCATTTCACTGCTGCATAGCATTTCATTGTGATTTTATAATTTATCCATATTTATGGGAATTATAAACAATTGTCTGAACAATGGAATAAATTGCTCTATAACTTCAAAGTGAAAAATTAGTAAATGTCAAAGGAGAACAAGTGTTTTCTTATTTGATGGACTGTCATTAGTTTTCCTTTTGGGTAAAGCTATCTGTGACATTGAGTAGAATTACATGATTTTTCTAATTGTCTATCTTCTTGCTCAATGTCAGGTGAGTCTGGCCACTGTGATTTTTGTTGCCAGTCAGAAAGCACTATCTGCTGAAATAAAGGCAGTCATTAAGCAGCAGCTTGAAAGCGTATCCAATGGATGGACTGTGTACCGAATTGCCAGACAGGCATCCAGAATGGTATGTGTGATCCATATCTGTTATGGGAAAGTCCCACGTGAATTCCAAAAATCTGAGCTCTTTCTGGCTGCAGGTTGTTAGTACCACTTTCATTTCACCTGATTCTTTCATAACCACAGTCGCCTCCCACCCACCATGTCTGTCCTCCTTTGTTAATACACCGTTGTTTATTTTCTTTCTCTCTCCAAACTTATCATTCTTGTGTAGAAACAGGAAAGTTTTAGTATGCTGTTCTCTTCTCAGCCATATGCAAAGCCCAACAATTTTCATTAATTTTGTTTGATAGGAAAGAAATGCAGAGCTTTGGATAGTATAGAAATCTGTTATTGTTAAGTCCAGAAAGCAAAGTTGGAAAAGCATTATTCTAGGTCAGTGTTTCCCAAAGTGCAGTACGCGTACCCCCAGGGGTACGGGAAGAGTTTGGTGGGGGTACGCGTTGCACTGGAGTTTGGTGGGGATATGCACTGCACCGTGCTTTGCTGCACCTAATTCTACATTCTCATGAGTATGAGGAGTACCCAGCATTATGAAAATTATAGAAGGGGTACACATATGTCAAAAGTTTGGGAGACACTGTTAGGTGATTAAAGCACATGTTCTCATTGTTTCTCAAATGGGAGGAGGACTGACAGGATGGGATTTTTTATTATACCCAACTGCCCCAAGCATCCAAGCACTGCAGGCTCTGAACATCCCTGGGCCTCAGCAGGTAAATGACATTCACATCCTCCCAACAACCACCCTTCCCCCCAGTCAGTTCCAGAGGCAAGCGCAGTACTCTTCCTGATAGTCCTGTAATAGAGCTTACTGGAGTTTTCCCCTATCCCCACTGAGTAGCTCATACCAAATGACACACTTTCCATTTATACTTGGCATATTTTGAACTAAAATTCTAGACTCAGGTTGTAGTTAATTCCTTTATTTTCTCTTTGGAACTGTCTTAGTAAAGAACTGTGAGCACTAGGTTACATAAAAGCAACTCAGCATATGTTGTCTGAGAAAATACTGAAACTCAAAGAATTATATAATACAAGGAATTATTGTTATAGCTTATCTAAGATTTCGCTTTGTCTTTTAGCTGCTAATTAAATTATAGGAACTTCATTATGTGCCATGATTTTTTTAATTTATTTTTTTAGGGTAACCATGACATGGCCAGAGAGCTCTATCAGAGTTTGCTGACTCAGGTTGCTTCAGAACACTTCTACTTCTGGCTAAACAGTTTGAAGGAGTTCTCACATGCAGAACAGTGTCTCACTGGTTTGCAAGAAGAGAATTATAGTTCAGCACTTTCTTGCATTGCTGAGTCTTTAAAATTCTACCACAAAGGGATTGCATCCTTAACAGTAAGTCCTCTTAATTCTCCTTTGGTGATGATGAGATGTGTAAGAATGGCCTCCCTTTTCTTTTCATTATCCTGTTTTAACTACCCTGAAGCATCTGACACTATATATATATATATTTTTTTTAATAGTCCTTTAATGACTTATCGTATGTGTATTTAATGAGGCTTGGCAATAATTAAGGACTGAATATATATATGAATATAATATTAAAGTAATAAATAGGACATGGAAGTAAATCCTTAACCTCTCATCTACTTTTTAATATTCATAGATAGATGGGTTTCTCATTTTGTTTTTATCAAGTACCAGGAACCATATATAAAGAAGATTACTGAATCCATACAGAAGGGATAAGTGGAGATATGATCTTTCTTTTCCAGAATCCTATTAACACCCTAGCCTGAGTCACTATCACTATCAACATAAATCCCCCTTCCATCTCAGACCTCAAAGCTACTCACTAAGAAACTAGAGTTTCTGGCTTTATGGATAAAGAAGAAATTATTATGGATGCTGGCGAGTGTTCCCCCCCACCCTCCATCTATGATTCCCTCCCATTCCAAATGAAGTTAGCCAGTTAAATTTTTTTCATTGTTCGGCTAAGAAAGTGAAGGGGGTACAGACATTTAACATATCTTATGTTTCCTTTAAATCAGTTATATTCTTAAGTAAGAACCTGTTTTCCTAACTGAGCATTTTCTGTGTTAATGTAAGAACTTTTCCTCTTTAAGAGTAAAGAGTTTATATAATCAACATTAAACATTTTTAAAACATTGTCAATCGATTTTTAAAATTGTATATATTTCGATGGGGCCATAAAACCTTTGGTCATAGTTTATATACATTTATCACATAATCTAAAATATTTGTACTGGTGGCACATCCTAAAAGAAATGCTTTAAAGTAGAATATAGAATAAACAGATGGCACAAAAGAGACAGAATATTTAGACTACTGTGGGAACATATCTTTTGAAATACAATTTTTCTGCTTAGGATTGGTTTCTATTTTAAAACAGAGCTCCTCTCCATGTTAAAAAGTAGCATTGAATACTATGCTTTTTTTCCTCTTGATTATCCTAGGAAAAGATTGTTGTTGCCTATATCAGGCTAATAAATGCCTCAAAAAATCAGAAGTTACAATTATTGGTTCTGATCAATAGAATTATTTCATTTTCTAGTTTATGTGGAGCAGAGAATTGTTAATCATTCAGTACAGTAAATGCTAAGAACTGTGAAACAGGCTCACAAAAGTTGATAGACTTAATATTATGAAAACCTCTATTGAATTTTTAATAGTCTTTTAATGATTTGTGTGGTATGTGTATTTAATGAGGCTTGTCAGTAATTAACAAAGTACTCGGTTGACAGACAGAAGGCCCTTTTCTTAGTTTTTACTCTGCCATTAACAAATTGTGACCTAAGTAGGTTTTTGAACCTCAGATCATTTCTTTTTGAAATGGAGTTCTTTTCTCTCATTATTACTATTTAAAACATTTTAAATATGTTTTTATTGGTTTTAGAGTGGAAGGGAGAGGGAGAGAGATAGAAGCACCAATGATTTTTAGAGAAAATCATTGTTCATCTGCTTTCAGCACAGTCCCTACGAGGGATAAAGCCTGAAACCCGGGCATATGCCCTTGACCAGAATCGAACCCAGGACCCTTCATTCTGCAGGCTGATGCTCTATCCATTGAGCCAAACTGGTTAGGGTGAACTGGAGTTTTTTTTGTTTTTTTAAAAATATATTTTAATGATTTTTAACAGAGAGAAAGGGAGAGAGATAGAGAGCTAGAAACGTTGATGAGAGAGAAACATCGACCAGCTGCCTCTTGCACACCCCTTACCTGGAATGTGCCCGCAACCAATGTACATGCCCTTGACCGGAATCGAACCTGGGACCTTTCAGTCCGCAGACCGACGCTCTACCACTGAGTCAAACCAGCTTCGGCTGAACTGGAGTCTTATTCAACAAATTATAAGCACTTGCTCTGTTTTAAAAAGATTTATTTGTATTCTATTCATTTGGCAAGTATAGATCGGACACTAGCTGTCTGTCATTGTTACTGAGAGGACTTGAACGCTGGCTGCCCTTTATACTCCCGGACACAGGAGTGGTCTAACCTGAGATGGTACAGCTGTGAAGATTATGCTTTTTACCTGCTTCAACCAAACTAAACAGGAGAAGTTCAGAATTCTCTGCTTATGGGGATCTGATAGCAATGCTGGGTGTCTTAATTCCCCAAAACAGTGATTAATGAGAGACTTACCTTGCTTCTTAGGAATAAAAGTTGTAAAAAGTATTTGTATTTATTTCCTGTGGTATGTAACACGTTACCACAGAGTTAGTGGCCTAAAGCAGCACCTGTTTAGTGTTTCAGTTTCCATGAATCAGAAATCTAGGTATGGCTTAACTCATGTCACAAAGTTCCAACCAAGGCGTCAGCCAGGGCCAGGCTTACTGAGGCTCACGGAGGCTTAGGGTCCCCTCCTAAACTCACATGGTTGTCATTAAAGTTTATTTCCTCACAGCTCTAGAACTTGTGGAAGCTTTGAGGCCAACAGGAGAATTGCTCACCTCCAAGGCCCTTTTCATGGGCTCATCAAATTAGGAGAAATCCATCCAGAATTATCTCCCTTTTCAGTGATATGAAATTACTTCATCGGGGACCTAAATTACATCCTCAAAATCCATTCATTACCTTTGCCATATTTCATTAGTAAGAATCGAGTTACAGGTTCCACCCTCACTCCGAGAGGAGAGATGATGACACATGGTGTGGATATCAGGGTACCAGGGGGTATGACTCAAGAACCATTTTAGTATTTTGCCTGCAGTGGTAGAATTTTAATTTATTTTGATTTTTCTCTTTATTAAGAATTGAATAGGTATAGCATCTATATATTTTTATGTAGGGTATATATTAAAAAAAATACAACAGATATCCCAGTTTAGGAAATAGTGCATTATCATTGCCTTTAAAACTTGTTTGGGTACTGCACCATTTTGCTGCCATATTTATTTTGTTGTAAAAATATCTTTTTTTTTTTTATCCCCAGGCTGCCAGTACACCACTGAATCCTTTAAGTTTTCAGTGTGAATTTGTAAAACTCCGGATTGACCTTCTGCAAGCCTTCTCTCAACTTATCTGTACTTGTAATAGTCTAAAGACAAGCCCCCCTCCTGCAATCGCCACAACAATCGCCATGACATTAGGAAATGAACTTCAGAGGTGTGGTCGCATCTCTAATCAGGCAAGTGTCAACGTATTTTCAGTGTAGTTTTTGTTTACATTAGAAGTTTTTTGAGATTAGTTGTGAGATGAAAAATCCTGAAATTTACAAATCAATGGTCTGACTCATGGATGTTCAACATCAAGTGCTTATTAACTCATCTGTCTTGCCAAAAATAGGCTGTCTTATTAAAATGACAAAGTGATTAGTGATGTCTCACTTAATGCTATATATTTATATAAAGAAAAAGGACATACATTTTAAAGAAACTTTGGGGTGTTAGTAACTATATTAATTATTTTAGTGGAACTTAAAAGAAGCTAAAATGCAAATATTTTTGTTTCCATACATCAGATATAAATTACCATAATCTTGTGCACATTTGTAATTTTATTTGCCTTCTGTTAATTTTATTTAACAGGGTTCATAAAAATGAATGGAATGAAAATGAAAAGGAGTTGAAGTATTTTTTACATATTTTTGTTTGACCGTTTTGATTTTTGTGTTTATACAATAATGATAGGATGTCTATTATAATTAATATTTTTCCTTCTTTGTAGATGAAACAATCTATGGAAGAATTCCGCAGCCTTGCTTCCCGATATGGGGATCTTTATCAGGCATCTTTTGATGCTGATTCGGCAACTTTGAGGAATGTAGAGCTGTATCCTAAACTTGCCCCGATATATCTTGTTCTTTTGAAGTATTCTTTTAAACATAAATACTTCAGATATGCTTGACTAACATTAGATAAGCCTATAAATTTGTTACAATTAATAATTTCTACTTTGAAATCTGGTATAAGCAATATAATTATACTTTTTGACTTAAACCAGACTTTTTAAATAGGTGGTGACTCAATGGTGGTCTTTCTCCACCTCTAGGAAAACAGGTTGCAAACATAACACAGATCAAATCACAGAGCCCGTTGCTTGGTGTCCCCCTCTGAAGTCTCCTTCCTGATACAGAATTTGAGAATCACAATTTCAGATACCATATATCCCTTAAAAGAAAAAAATAGAGCTCCAGACTATTTGAGTCGATAACATATGGTTACCTTCACTAAAAGGATGATCCTCACCTTGACTTATTTAATATTCAAGTAATATAAAGTCTGTGGTAGATTTCTTTCTTTTTAGGTATAACCTTAACATTAATCCAGACAGCAGCAGAGCTGTTTGCTGATGTCTCACGCAATAGAAGCTCTGATTTTAGATCCAGAATCTGCAAGGTATTTTTAATAATAGTTTATATTAAATAATGCTTTCAAATATGTTATCTAACCTAATCATCATGACAGTGTTTTAGAAGAGGAATTGTAAAAAAAACAAAACAAACACAAAACAAAATAGAGGAAGAATTTTTCCAGCATTTGTTTAAGGTCACATTGCTAGTGGTGAAGCCTGGATTTTCTGACTATTGTTTATTTACCTCTTACCTCCTGTTTTCTCAACAATGACTTGAAAAATTAACTAGGAAGAAATTAATTGAACTTGAACATTTTCTTCTTATATATTGTAACTGAACTTTGGTATGAAAAATTAAGTTAGTCCTAGCTGGTTTGGCTCTATGGACTGAAGTGTCCCAGGTTTGATTCTGCTCAAGGGCACATGCTCAGGTTGTGGGCTTGATCTCTAGTAGAGGGCATGCAGGAGGCAGCCAAACAATGATTTGCTCTCATCATTGATGTTTCTATCTCTCTCCCTTTACTTTTCTCTCTGAAGTCAATTTTATATATATATATATATATATATATATATATATATATATATATATATATGTATATATATATGTAGTTTTAAATTAAGTTAATAATATAATTAAACTTGTACTTGAAATATTTTTCTTTGGGTTTCCCAAAAGTATTCCTGTTTTTGCTTTGTTAGAAATTTTTCTTCCCTCCCCCCGTTAACTAATTAATTTTTCAAAATCCTATATAATAAAAAGCCTAATATGCTAAGTGTCCATCTGTTCATTCAACTGTTTGACCAATAACTATGACACACACTGACCACCAAGGGGCAGACGCTCCAGTAGGTTAGCTTGCTGCTGGGGTCTGGCTGATCGATACTGGGCAATACAGGCCAGACACGCACTGAAGCCCTCTGATGTAATCTCCCTGGCCAGCCAACTTCCCACAGTCCCTCTCCAGCCAGCCAGCCTGATCACCCCAATCAGGACTGGGTGAGACAGGCTGGACACTCCCTAGATGAAACCGTGCACTGGGCCAGTTTTGGCCCGATCCCTGCAGGCCAGGCCGAGGGACTCCACCAGCCTCTGGTATTTTTATAAAAGAATGACCATTGGTTTTTCTATGACAGATAATGTTTTTCTTGCTTAAATTTTAATAACAAGATAGGTACTTTGTCAGCAGGAATGGGATGAAGGGAGTTATCTAGTCAGCTCACACATGCTGCTGTCTGACCCTCTTTCCTTCCTTTCACTTTTCTTCACTCTTCTCCATCACCTTACATCCCTCAAACCCATTCCCCTAATCTTTGTCTTTCATGATAATGAAAAATTAGAAAAGAAAGTGTGTACTTTGAGGGAGAATTCTTTGGGTTTTATAGTGTGCAATTGCAAGGAATAGATTCCTTCTAAAAACTTCTCTTCTTGGTAGTATATATTTTGTGCCTTCCAAGTAAAGAGGAACCTATTGCTGAAAAGAACCTCAAGAGAGCGAGGCATGACATTGATATTTCACTGAATTTTTAACAGAAATTTGTGTATTTCTTTCACAACCTAGAAGGGTTGGAGAGGTGAGGGTCGATTCTGTTTCATTCAACTTTGAATCTCTAGCAGCTAACATAATACCTATGCCAGTGTATCAGGAAATGTGGGAGAGGATGAGGACATGTTTATAGTCATGACTATTATTATCTACCTCAGACTTGCTTTTCAGCATTACCAGGAAAAAATATTTTGAAATGCTTGTGCATTACGTTTTTCTATTCTAGCTTCTTGTTCAGTCATGTTTCCTTTACACTTAACCTTTATTTCTACTGCCTAGAAAATAAGGGAATGGCTAGAGGGATAAGGTTTTATACTACCTAACAACCAAAGTGATTGAGTGAAGTCAGATCTTGGTTTGAATGCTAGCTTGCCACTTATAGGTTATATGAGACTGAAGGCAAATTACTTAACTTCTTCAAGCCTCAGTTTCCTCATCTATAAAATGGAAATAACAGTGGGTACTTCATTATTTTAAAGATTATGTAAGAATGTGCTTGATCATTGAGACATTAAAATGTTACTGTTGTGGCTTATTAATCGATATTTATTTTAACTTCAGTTCCCAGGAATATGGATCCGTAGGAGCAGCCCATGCTGATAGTGAATATGAGAGAAGAATGATGTCTGTATATAATCACGTCCTGGAGGAGGTGGAGTCACTCAATAGGAAATATACCCCTGTTTCTTATATGGCAAGTGGCATTTGTTTTACTGAGTTTTTATTATGTGCGAGTGATTTTTACTCATCCGTGGCACTTACTATGTGACTTCAACTTCTCTGTGCCTGTTTCCTTTGTGCCTGTTTTGTAGCCGGGTTAATACAGTACATGTCTCATAGCATTGTTATGAGGATGAAATGAGATGATTCATGAAAGCATGTGGCATTTCTGTAGCTGCTACAGAGTCACATTAACCTGTCAAATCTGCTCTACCAGAATGCAGATAAAACTTGTTTTTTTAACAAGTTAACTGAAGTTGCAGTTGTTTTCAACCCTGGCTATTACATTAGAATCACTTGGGAAGTATTTTTAAAAAATGCATCAATATTCAGGCCCCACCCCAGAGCAGTCAACTCTGTATCTGTGCAGTCCAGGCCTGGGCTTTAGCATTTTTAGAAGCTCCCAGGTGATTCTGTCATGCCACCATGGTTGAGGACCACTGGCCACTTGAGACAGAAAGAACTGGGCTTACACTAAATTAGTTCCTGCGAGGTGGTGCCATTGGTACTTTTTAGTTTACTTGTCCACCTTTCCTCTGCTGACTCTCTGCTGCCTTTGGCACTGTTGAGTACTCGCTCTTTATTGAGTCTTGTCCCCTGACTTCCCAGCCACAGGACAGATGGAGACACTCTCACCCAAGTTCTCTCCTCCATGTCTGGCCAGTCTCCAGGGTCTTAGTTGGCTCAGGCTCCTGTAACAGAATGCTCTAGACTTGGTGGCTTAAACAACATTTATTTCTCACAGTTTTGGAAGCTGGAGAGTCTAGGATCACTTTTTTTTTTTTTTTAACAAGTTAACTGGTAAGGGCCCTTTTGCCATCTTGCAAATTGGCTCTTCTTACTGTGTCCTCGCGTGTTCTGCAGAGCTCTGGTCTCTCTCTTTTTATAAGGACACTAATTCCATTATAGCGGCCCATCCTTATAACCTCATCTAAACCTAGTCACCTTTGAGAGGCCCCAACTCCGAATACCCACACATTGACAGTTAGAGCTTTTCCATATGAACTTGGAGAAGACACACACATTCAGTCCATAACACCCTGTCTTTGAACTTGACTCTTAGGAGAGCTTTTGCTCTGCCCACACATCAGATATTCCCCAAAGCTCTCTTCTGGTTCCTGCTTTTCCTGTTCTATACTCTTACTATTTATCAAGTATTTTAGAAGAAATTGGCAGGATGTGTTGTTAAAAGGGTTAGGTTAGATAGTAAGGACAGATATAAGCTTTCCACATAAGGTCATCAGTACATATTTGCTGAATCGAACTGACTCAGGTTTGCCACAGATTGGTTGCTAAGGGAGTTTGTAAAAATTATCTTTGAAGTAAACACACACACCTCTGTGCGACATTCATTAAATTATTTCATACTTCCTCTAAGCTGCACCCTAAGAAGTTAAGTAGATACCAAACAGTAACTTCAGTTTAATGGAATTGAACCCACTGAATATAATGGAAAGAAGGGGAAATTTCTGCTCAGTAGGAGACAGTACAGAGACAAGAGTACTAGGTTCAACCCCCTACACCCCTCTGCCACTCAGCAGGTCTGTGACTTTAAACAAATTACTAAAATCCTATTCTATGATATGGAAAAAATATTTACCTTATAGAGTTACTGTTAACTTTAAATAAAGTATATTGCCTAGCACAGTACCTGGCATAGTACATAAGGGGTGGTTAATAAATGTTCATTCTCTTTTTCTCTCCATATTGTATTTTATAGCTTTAATATTGTCTGAGCCCCAAATTCAGTTCTACAAGTATTTATTGGGTCCCAGGAATAAAAAAATGACAAAGACACAGGATCATCCTTTGAGTTGCCTGTAGTCTAATAGGAAGTGAAGATTTTATAAACAAACACAAAACAGTGTGTATGCAGAAATAGAGCTCTTCATGAGGTAAAGATGTAGCACACACACAAAAAAGTAATTCATGTCACAGGATAGGCAAAACGGGATAAGGGTGTAACTCAGAAAATGCCTTTGCATAGAAGTTTTGCAGGGAGATGAGGCTAGAGAATTTCAGAGAACCACATGTTTGAAAGCAGAGGCATGAAATAGCATGTGTCTTCTGGGGACAGTTTCCTATTGTTGCAGTAGAGTGTATAGGTGGGGGCTGGAGAGGTAGGCAGAGACCAGGTGACAAAAGGGGAAAGACGTGGTTAAGATTGTACTTTATTGTTCTGTAGGTACAGAACATGTAATGGCTGTAGGCACAGAACTCATAATCCAAGGTAAAGGCCTAATTAATAAGAATTAGAATGAGAAGAACAGATACACAAGAAAGATATTTAGGGGCAATGTTTTCAAAGCTTGGGTTTTTGTGTTGTGTGTGTATGCTTATTAAATGTGAGAGGATGGAGACATGACCTCCAGGTTTCCAAGTTACCAAGTTCACAGTGGTTGATCCTTTACTGAGACAGAGAATATAAAGGGATGGTGGAAGAAGGTGAAGGTTTCATTGTTAGCATGTGGCTGTGTTACAGGCAGCTGGAAAATAGGTTTAGTGTTGGAAGGAAGAGGCTGGACTGCATGTAAGATTGTTTTGAACTTAGAGGTTCTTAAAGTCATAGGTGTAGAGCCCTGACCAGTTAGGCTCAGTGGATAAAGCGTTGGTCTGCGGACTGAAAGGTCCCAGGTTTGGTTCCTGTCAAGGGCATGTACCTTGGTTGCGGACACATCCCCAGTAAAAGGTGTGCAGGAGGCAGTTGATCGATGTTTCTGATTCTCTATCCCTTCCTCTCTGTAAAAAAATCAATAAAATATATATATTTTTTAAAATATTCTATTAAAAAAAAAAAGTCATGAAAGTAGAGAAAATTGCCTGTTAGGAACATATGGACTAATGAATGTGTCAACATTTAAGGAAGAAACAAAGGAAGAGAATCTTAGGGAAGAAGATGGAGAGAGGAAGAATCAGAAAAAGTGAGAGCAGGGGCCATAAGTAGAATTCCTTGGAGAAAGAGACTTAGCAGGTGCCACAGTATTGTAAAAAATACAAAAGCTGGAAAATATTGGATTTGGCAATGAAAAGTGTTGGTTTAGGAACCATGATATGTGATTTCACACCTCCAGACTGTTACTTTGATAGTAAATTGCTATTAATATACCTGGGAAGATGTGTCCGGGGGGCTGGTGGCCTCAGAGGCAGTCCTGCTTTCCCAGTGGGGAATTTGTAAAATCTGAATTTCTTCTAATAAAAGGGAGAATGGTGCCTTTTGCCCGGGGAACAGCCTGAGGTCACTTGGGGTCCTCTGAGTCGTCCTTTAAAGATGTTTCTCTCCTTAAACACTATTGTGACATCAGAGATTCCACCACCAGTAGAATGTCCCTGCAAATGCTTCCCAGGTTCCTTGCAGGAAGATGAATAGTGATGTTTTAGCAGATAAACCTGAAGAAATAGGCCTGGTGTCTTTAAATCTGTGCTGTTATTCTCTCAAGTAATAGACCTGGCATTTGTATTACTGCTCGTCTGTTGGGTACAAAATATTCAGCAGCCTGAACTCAATGAGTAGTCTCTTCTGGCTTTCAGCCTTATTGCCCAATTCTTAAAAAATGGTTACAGGGTAGGCAACTAGGTGACAGTTTATTTGAATGCCGGAGCTCAGACGGACAGACAGCATAGTGAATAGTGGAGTGGTTTTCAACCTGTGGTCCTTAGAAGGGACCACTGAGGGGAGTAGACTGAGGAGGGGCTGGTAGAACAAGTAGGAATGATTCTGCCCCAAAGATTAAATGTTCTGGTAGTGCTGTAACTTTTCCCCTCTATTGTTTGCAAATCATTAGTGAAGTGGAACAAAAATCACTGAACTAAGTAAGGGTTGGGCAATCTTGGTTCTAGTCCCGCTTGTTCCATTACCTATCGAGGTGACCCATGTCGTCATCAAAATTGAGCTGATCTTTACTTGTGAAGCTCTGTGAAGGGTATTCTTTTAGAAGAAGAAGAAGAAGAAAAAAAGATTAAAAATATGAACACTAAAAGGGCAATAAATACGTAGCTATCAACATTTAAATCTAAAAATAAAAATAAACGAACAAGAAATGTAACTTACAAACGGATGAATAAAATAGAACCAGAAAATGGAACAGACTGAGGAATCTCAGAGGGGAAGGGAGTTGCAGAAAGAGATTAACCAAAGAACATATGCATATGTGCATTACTTACGGACGCAGACAATTGGGTGGTAAAGGACTGGGGCAGGGCGGGAACCAGATTGAGGGAGGTAATGGGAGAAAGTAGGGGACATCTATAATACCCTCAGCAATAAAGGATTTGTTTAAATTGGCATGATCTTTAAATAGCTTTGATGGATTCATGGGTGTATGGTTACCTCCATACCCATCAAGTGGTATACATTAAATTCATAGAGCATTTTGTATGTCATTGTATATCAGTGGAGTGGTTTTAAATAAATAATCTTGGAACTCTTAAATTCTAATTCTATGATCCTTTTCACTAAGACTCAAAGCATTTATTAAAGTTTCATAATTCCCTAGAGTTGGACTATATACTGGTAGTCATTCTTAATCTGAATTCCAGCAAACTTTCACCATTATTCTCTCCCTGAGGCCTCAGGACCGTAGGGTCAGGGAAGCCGCCTAGTGGGGATGGGTTGACAAAATGATACAATTTTTTGATGAAATTTGGAAATTCATTTTTATTTCTTTTCCCCCACAGCATACAGCATGCCTCTGCAATGCCATCATTGCTTTGCTGAAAGTTCCTCTTTCATTTCAGAGATATTTTTTCCAGAAACTGCAATCCACCAGCATTAAGGTAATATTGGGAGAAGTATAAGGTTAATATAGATTAAAAGCCCAGTTATCACCTACAGATTAAGCGGGAGATAGCTCTGCTTCAGAAGCTTACCTTTGGTTTTGATAAAACTTATGCTCTTTAGTTATAAGCCTTTTCTGCCTTTGCCAACTGGTTTGGTGAAGAAAATGGGTACCTGTCAGTACCAAATGCAGGGAGACAGGTGTTTGAATACCTGGAGCTCTGTGCCTTTGCTCTCTACTCCAAGAATAAGTCGAATGGTTTTCATCATAGTAGCCTACAAGGATCTTGAGCTGAGTCCACTTCTGGTCAGCCTATTGAGACCCAACTTCAAATGAAACAGGTCCAGTATAACATCACCAGTCCTACCTTGGAAGCACTTTTATCTTTGAATAACAAACTTTGAGGAGCTGTCCAATTAAAAGGATTAATATTTTAAAATATTTAAACTACTCAAAATTCAAAAGCTGTTTTTGTTCAAGGAATGGAATTATTGGGGATGGGGGAAATTGTCACTTCTGAGAGATTTCTTGGATTATCCCTGTTAGTAAATGTCTAGTATGTGTTGGCATCCATCCAAATGCTTTTGATTACAAATAACAAAGTAGGCTATGGCAAATAACCTGGCTAATTCGGAAAATGTATCATATAGATAAGTCCTAAGGTAGTAGATCTCTAGAGTTGATTGGTTCAATAGTTCAATATCATTATAAAAAATAAACGATTTTTTTCCATCTTTTTATTTAGCAAGACTTGAGCTTTCTATAGTTGAAGTGGATTTGGGACTTTTAATATGTTTTTAAAGAAAAATTACTCTGAGAGGTTAAAAAATATCATTTGGTTCATTTGTGAAAGTTGACTTTTATACCATGGTGACTTGATTATGTTTGAAATCCTAGAATTTTAAATTCATTTGCATTTGAATTTAGTCCATTTAAAATTACCTAAAACCAAAGAGCCAGCTGCTGGACATGAAAATTTACGTAATGGATTTCCCTACTAGAATTGATTCATTGTCAAAGAAGTGCCTCTGCACAGCGATTGGGAGAGCAGTACCTTCACTATTCTCTGTTACCTTCAAACAGTGCTGGGGCTTGGGGTTAAAAAAAAACAAAGGGTATTTAAAAGGAGGCATTAGAAATAAGGAACTCTGGACTTTAAAAGTACATCTATCTGGTTGTCCCAGCATAGTCAGATTGTATGTGTGTGGGGCTGAAGTGGGGAGGGAGAATGAAGGGAGGGAGGCATAAGTAACATTTTAACCCATAACCAAGGATTAGCACTGACATGTTTGTTGGAAGGAAGCTTGCTCTTGGTTGTTAGTGTTGATTTAATGTTGTTGTTCCAGCTTGCTCTGTCGCCATCTCCCCGGAACCCTGCAGAGCCCATCGCTGTCCAGAACAACCAGCAGCTGGCGCTGAAGGTGGAAGGAGTGGTTCAGCACGGATCTAAACCAGGACTGTTTCGCAAAATCCAGTCTGTCTGTCTGAATGTTTCTTCTACGCTACAAAGTAAATCTGGACAAGAATTCAAGGTAATTTACAAAAGAGGCAGAATTGCTGTGGGATTTTATGTGATGGAAGTTTTCCCGTGTTTTTCGTGGTTAAGTAGATTGCAGTTCTACCTCCGCAAGGATCAGATGGACATGAGTTAAAAGCACATATTGGGGTGTGAAAGGCTGATAACAACACTTTTATTTTTCCTGCCTAAACATTCAATAGATGGAGATCAGACTGAGTGTTTTTACTGTTAAAGCCAGGGAGAAACCCTGCTCAGGTGCCCAGCGGCAAGGACCCTGTGCCCTGTACATCTGACATGAATTTTCCCCTCTAGTTTCAGCCAATACACACAAAGCCTTCCCCCATAAAACTGATGGCAGGAAGGAGCACCTGAAGCTCAAAAAAGAAGGGAAAGAGAAGATGCTTAGCTCCCCATGCCCAGCTCCCACCCTGAAACTTAGCCAGTGGAATGTACCTCCTCTACAGACCAGTACTGTTCATCTGATGAGAGGTCCTTTCACACGGAGGAAACATCAGAAGTGGGGAATAGGTGTCTTCCTATGCCCCCTACCCCTAAAAGAGCACATCTGTTTATTTTCCTCTATTTTAAGTAACTTTTCAAAAAAGAAAGTATATAGTGTTGACATAACAATGGTTAAATAAAGTAAAAATCTTTCTTTATGAGTATAACCCTAGGAACTTGCTGCTTTGAGAATCCATGAGACCAGTTAACCAAAACCATGCTTTGTTAGCCAAAGCTAAGATTCTGAATTCATGCCCATGAAATGCCAGTCTTCCAAATGTAGAATGTTCCTTCCTTTAGACATCTCTTTCCAGTTCCGTGGCACTTTATTCAAAGTAAATGGAGCAAGGGATCAAGTACACAGTTTTATGATAGAGTTGTTCAGATGCCCAGATTGCTGGTATCCAGGTTGATTGGGGGCATGCTTGAACTGAGGTTCATAGCTAGAAAAGCAGTATTAGTAAAGATAAAAAGAGTGCATCTTATCCTCTTTGGAGTTAGGCTAAAAAAAGCAAAGGGGAACTCTGGTTTGAGCCATCATCACTTGCTTTGCTTTGATAGCTTACTCTCTCTGGCACTCTTCACCCATTTGATAAGGCTCAGCCTTCATTCTCTTCTCTTTCTCTCTTTTTATTTTCATAACTCAAAGCATGGTGCCTTTTGTAGCCACTCACTAGCTATTTGGTGACTGGTGAAAAACATCAGTAGTTAGAGCACAACTATTATGTTTTGGTAGATATCTGATGCCACAGATCATAGTGAGAATTTACATAGTTAACTGTCTGCAACTTTCTCTGCCCTTTGAGTTTGAAAGTACCATAACCATGGTTCTCTTGTATATAATGATTTCTACTATTAAGAAAAAAAACATTCAAACTGAGAAGTACTGGTCTCCTGCTTGCTCACTTGCCTCTTGGGAGACATTGACTAAGTCAGGAAGCTGCTATAATAAGCCATGCTATCCATGAAGCATGTAAAACTCAAAGGCTAACATAGGCCAAATAAATGAGGCATGCAGCCCGTGGGCCACGAGTTTGACATGCTTGCTGTACATGATCATAATGTTACTTGCAGGGAGTTTGCAACTTAAAATGCATCATCCATTTAGAGTCATCAGGTCCTTTTCTGATCTCTTTAAGGAAATTCTTGTTTGATAGGCATATTCTTTAGGAATATAAAAATCCTACCAAAATTGACCATGCAAATAAAAAAATACCTATAAGTAATTCTAAGATTTTGAATTGGTTGGTGACTTTATGAATGTTACAGGTAAATGACTTTGGAAAATTGACCTCATGCTAACTGCTTATTGAGACAAAACTTCAGGATACATTTACATAATTAATTATACAACAGAAACACACATAAATGTAGATCAGTCTAGTCAAACACTCATTAAGATTACCTGAATGTGCATTGTCAGAAAAAGTGTCTCTCTGACATGCTTCATCATGAGTAGAGGTTGGGGTGTATCAGCAGGTGTTACTGTGTTACTGAAGAACAACGGCCTGAGTGTTTTTCTAGCTAAATAAATGAATGAGCCCATAAATCTGTGTTTTGCAATATATTGTACTGCCAATGTGAACAAAACACTGATTAAGTGAGTGATGTACAAGTTCTGAAGTTAATTAAATGCTGAAGTGAATACTAAAGCAGGGAGGAATCATTATATTAAGAAATATAAAATCAGCCGGGACCGGTTTGGCTCAGTGGATAGAGCGTCGGCCTGGGGACTGAAAGGTCCCGGGTTCGATTCCAGTCAAGGGCATGTGCCTTGGTTGCGGGTGCATCCCCAGTAGGGGGTGTGCAAGAGGCAGCTGATCGATGATTCTCTCTCATCGATGTTTCTAACTCTCTATCCCTCTCTCTTCCTCTCTGTGAAAAATCAATAAAATATATATTTAAAAAAAAAAAAAAAAAAAGAAATATATAATCAGACTAGCTAGGAGGAAGAAAACTCACATATAAACATAGTTTTATGTCCCTTTTCAGTCTCTTATATTTTAAAACCCCTGAAACAGATGGTTGCACCCTATTTCTTCAGAATGTCTCTTCACAGACTGAAGAAAGATGGGATTGGAGTTGAGGTTGGGTAAGCAAGTGTAGGAAAGGAAAAATTTCTTTTCTGCTTTCTGTAGATCTCCAGTTGGGCCTAAGGGTAAACTGACATTAAGGCAGATTAATAGGAGAAAAACCTACCAGTGTTATTAGAATTTCACTTGTAGATAGGAATCTTCACAAGAGAATATAGATCCAAAGAAGTGTCCAGAACAGAAAGCTTATATACCTTTAGACACAGAAATGGTAAATTCATGACGAAATGACAGGACACGGATTTGGACTTGGGGCAGTAAATTGTGGGGAAATGTTGGGGCATTGGGGGAGACCATAGACGATAGGGGATATTTTAGTAGGCCTGTCTGTACAGGTCCATTTCAGTCTCTGGCGATAAGGATGTTTTTCTCTTCTTGGTAGAGGGAGGCAACTTTTCTTGTAGGAAATTTTATGGCCTGTTTTAGGTACAAGGCGGCAAGTCAGTGAGTCCCTCCTGCATCTGTTGTTTCTCAAGTTGCTTTAGCTCAAAATACCTCAGGATGCCAAAGCAGCTTGTATGGGTGGTGTGTCCTGAACTCCTTTGCCTCTCCTCCTGGTCTGACCCTTGACTATCCTTAAAGAATGAGCCCCCACAGCCTTTCTCAATCCTTCATATGCTGGCTCATTCTTTAAGGATAGTCAAGGGTCAGATCAGTCCATAACTAAGAGTATAGGCTCAGCAGTTAGCTCGCCAAGGTTCAGAGGCCTGCTCCACCACTCATTAGCTGTGTGACCTTGGAGAAATTACTTAACCTCTCTGCCTCAGTTTTCTCCTCTATAAAGCAAGAATAATAAAACAACCTACCTCTTGGTTGTTTGCATGGAATAAATAAGCACTTAGGCAGGACCTCACTCATAGTAAGCACTCAGTAAATGTTAGCTGTTGTTATTACTTAACAATTCTTTTGTTCCAGATACCCATTGACAATATGACCAATGAGATGGAGCAGAGGGTTGAGCCTCATAACGATTACTTTAGTACACAATTTCTTTTGAACTTTGCTATCCTTGGCACACACAACATTACTGTGGAATCTTCAGTGAAAGACGCCAATGGTATCGTATGGAAGACAGGCCCCAGAACTACCATATTTGTCAAGTCCTTGGAAGACCCCTATTCCCAGCAAATTCGCCTGCAACAGCAGCAAGCCCAGCAACCATTACAACAGCAGCAGCAACGAAATGCCTACTCACGGTTTTAACCACGTGACGAATGCACTACAGACTTTACGGCCATTGATCAAATTGGCAAAAGTACTTTGCATTTTTATATGGATTAAGATATAAAAGTTATAATGTGGAGGCCATTTACTCCTTGGTTTCTGTAATGTAATATTCTAAAAATATATAGGGCTCTTTTCCCCCCCTTACAGATTTCTCATTTGAGAAAAATTGGGTTCCTTAACCAAAAAGATTATTTTCCTTGTTCCTTTGACCAGGTCCCTTATCCCATATTTAACATTTTCATTGTTTTATTATTCTTTTTAGTGTGGTTGAGTCTTTTGTTTTCCTTTTAAGTCACATATTGGGATCATTGAATTAGTAAATTTGACTGCTCCTCTACCAAAATATGTCACTTAGCTAGCTGCCTGTGATTCTGAGCTACGTCTTGGGGAGTTCTGACCAGTACTGACCCGTGGTGGTAAAAACTGAGTCCTCCCATTGATAGACTTGGAAGTGTCTCCTGCACCATCAGTCTTCTGGAAAATGAGAGCAGGCAGACGAACAGCGTGGACACATATATTATTTCAACTCCTTATCTGTCTGTTCTGTGCTAAAGCCAACTTAATTTATTGTTTTAGTATTTAATTGAACCAAAGTGCAGCTAAAAATGACATAGACATATTGGAGATTAATAATTAGTTTTTTTCTAATATGTGTGTGATTGTGTAGACTTCTTACATTGTTTCTAAGAGTGAAAAAATAACTCACATTTAATATCTTCATGTTTGAAGGTAGGAGGGCAGATCTTTGGTTTAGTTTCTTCTTGGCGTGTTATGTAATGCTAGACTTGATTGTCTAGAAAGAACAGTCTCTTTAACACAATCTCAATTATTTGGGATCCTCGGGGAAGAGAAATTTCCTGGTTAGCCAGAAAACCCCTTTTTTTCTATTTCATTACTGGTTAAAAAACATTATAAAATCTAACAGTGATATACTTTCTTGTCTTAACACAGTATACTAGATATAATTTAACTGTTCTTTCTGGATTTGGGATCATTCAGTTCTTTGGGATCATGATTTCTGAACAGTGGGGATCATAGCATCGCAGATATTGATGATATGAGCAGTTGGGTTCGGAGTAGCTCCTAAGATGAAGCAGGCACATTCCTTGGAAATTTCTTTTTTAAATAAATATCTCAGTTTCTTTGCTTGTGTTTTGCCTTTTCTCTTTGAAAGTTGACATTGGCTCAGAGAAGGGGTTGAGTTTAAAGGAAAAAACAAAGTGTGTTTTTTTTCCTTGTCATCTGGCTTTTACGGGTGAGAAGGTGATTGACAACTCAGGTCCCTTTAAGATGATGAGCTATATTTGTAGCACAACACATTTCACTCCCAACAGCCAGAACATCGTCATAAAACCTGTAAGTCTACAGTGGCTACCATAGATTATATCTGTAAGTGGCCCAGTTGTACCCATAATGCACACAGTGTAATGTAATGGATTTAGCCTCTGTCACCAACATTAAAAGTATGATGGGATGCATTGAGAGTCAGAAAGTCTGGTGAGATGGCTTAGATTGCCTAACAGCAGCACTCCAGGAGGTTATGGTCTTTCCATTTCTGACCCAAGAACACAAAGACCTTTCAGCCTCATGGGCTATGTGTTTTATTGGCTTGGCTGGAGCTAGTCCATTATCCTGTGGTAGGCAGTCTAAAGTCCTCATTCTATGAGGAATTTAATTTTTAATTGTAATTGGGATTTAAATAGAGTGAGTCATGTTTTTTCCTTAATGACATACCAAGACCTGGAGCCATTGATTTCCACCTTCTAGTGAAGAATGCTCAACTTTTTACAAACCCATTACAGTTACAAAACATTTTTCAGTATGTACCTTTCCCCAGTGCATTTCTCTCCTGCACAGTCAAGTTTGTTGTGCAATTCGCCCTCTTTTTTTATTATTTAGGTCTGGTGAAAGATTGAAACTTGGTGAAATATGTTTGGGCATTATCTTTCTTATAAATCATATTTACAGGGGTAGCTTTTGTTTAGTGACACCTGACTAAAAAATAGTTTTTATTGTTGTTTCCAGATAATTTTTTTAATCAATCTTTATTGTTCATATTATCACAAAGGTTCCTCGTTTAGATAATTTTTTAATAAAATTATGAAGGTGAGATAATATCAAATGAATCAGAACAATCAGGAAAATGAGCCTCTTACCCAATCAGCATCCTCAAGAGTCAAGATGAGTTCAAGAAAAACAGATTGTATGCAGAGAAGAAATAATTTATAGTTCATCTTTTGGTTTCCTTGGGAGATTTTATTTGTGGATTTTTAAAATATATATTTATATCAATTTCAGAGAGTAGGGGTGAGGGAGAGAAACATTGATGATGAGAGAGAATCATTGATCAGCTGCCTCCTGCACACCCCACACTGGGGATGGAGCCCACATCCTGGGCATGTGCCCTGATGGGGAATCGAACCGTGACCACCTGTTCATAGGTCAATGCTCAACCACTTAGCCACACCAGCTGTGCTTATTTGTGGATATTGATGAAGCTTATTTGTGGCTATTAATAAAAAATATTTAAAATGGAGGACAAGGACAAATATAAGAGAACTAGGACTGAATTAGACTGAGGAATTTTGAGAAGATAATGCCTCGTTCTGTTTCCCAACTCCATGGAAGGTGAAAGTAGGCTGTGTGGCCTCAAGAGTCCCATCCCACCATTGGAAATAGTGAAGCTAATGATGCTTTTTGTTTATGTATCATCTCGCCTTGAGATGAGCAAAGTGATGGTAAATTGTTAACACCTGTACCCCCCACCTTGCTTTCTCTTCCCCACCCCACCCACCAGCAAAGGCAGGCAGCATGTGCTCAGGAGGGCCAGCCCTGAAGTTCTCCCCACCTGGCAGAAGATGTAGCTGAAATGCCTACTGAATAATGCAAGTAGGGGAGACAGCCTCTCCTGGGGTGAGCCACACCATGCCAGGCCCTGAGCTGGCAGTGGGAAGTATAAATGAAATGGACAGAGCCCGCAACTGATAGTAAAAGACCTCTGTCTTCAGAGAATGTGAAGAGGGCTTTATCAAAGCTGTTAACAGCAAAAAAAGAGATGACATCTCTGAAATTCCAGCGGTGTCTCCCCTTGTACATAAAACTGGCCATCATTTGGCATTTTCTCCTTTTGCTGCTCTCGGAAGGCAAGTGTTCCTTCCTGCTCAGAGAGCCTCCTCCTGATCTAATCCGAGACAAATGGGTATCTACTATTTTGGAAGCCAGAGATGAACAGAAAGAGCATTTGGAAAAAAGGTTCAGCCCTAACGTATAAAGTCAACGTTTAGCCTCGAGGAGACAGGAGATGACACACACAAAAAAGAAGTAAATACTGTGTTGTGTTGCAGAAGCTACTGCTGCTTCCGGTCAGGTTGTTGGATGACATGAACCCATCAATGTCCCATTTCAAGTTACCAGGGCATTAGGGAGAAATGGCTGTAATCACAGAATCACTTATGCAATATCAGATCTGTCCTACTTAATGTTGCCGTGTCCCCTGGGATGCTCACGAGCATATTAGCCGTGGCTAGAATGGTCTCAGCGCATCTGGAACCTCCTGAAGGGCCCTTGACACAGGAGAGGCCTATGAGTCAGCCCTAAGCACTCCCCCCTCCCCCCCCCCCCCCGCCCCTCTCCCACGTGGCTGACCTGGAGTCGCTGATGAGAAGCATTTTTCCTTCGCCCTGAGCACTGGAAGGAACTCCACTGGGACCACAGGGCACTATAGCTCAGTCAGCTTTTGTCTGCGCAGGAGTTTGTGAACTGGGGCATATTTCCCCAGATCTATGCCCACAGCCCAGCCAACAAGGACACAAACAATTTTGAAAACAGGTGACCTTTTATTTACTCACCACGTGTTTATCGAACACGGACAGGGTGCCAGGAACTGGGGATGCAATGGTGGGCCAGCTCCTTGGGCTCACGGCGATGCTACTGCTTGTGTTTGCACAGACCATGGGCGAGAAGGCTCGGGCCATGCAGGGCGGGCCTGAGCTCTCTTGGTGGTGGGTCATTTCCTGCTGGGAAAGGGGAGAGGAATGAGATTGCTCAGGTCTGTCCAGGTCCTGCCGTTTCCTGCGTGGCCCTTTGGGAAAGCTATCAGCTTGAGCGTTTGCCCCTTCCATAGCTAATCATCTTCACCGTTCACTAAGTCTTCTCTTTTTCCCTTATATCCAACCTATAAAGCCCTTCTGGCGATCTTAACTAACACCCTGCTTCAATTCTTTGTGTTTGAGGGAAACGGCAAACTCCCCAAAACCTTGCTCCCAGGGAAATGGTGCTAATCAGAACGCAGTCTCCTCTGACCCCAACGACTTCCTATGGAAAAGCATACCTGTCCCTCCAGACCCGGCAGAAACACACTCACCCCGATTCCTCCCGCCAGACCTGACCCGTGTCAACCCAGGCTTGGGCATGATCCACTGCCTGGCCCTTGGGGTTGCCCTGAACGTGGACAAATGGTGGCTACAGTTACCATGTCCTGGGAATGAGAACGAACAGCTCCCTGCACCGTTCCAGCCTCCACGTCAGCCCCCTCTCATAACATTTTTGTGAGCCTTGGCTTCTTCCTCTGTGAAACGAGGCTAACAACGGCCCTATTGTGAAGATTCAGCGTAATAGCACATGCGCAGAGCCTGCTGCTTGGTGGGGGCCCACCCAGTATTGCCTCTGCAGTTAGGTTGCAGATCATCTCTGCCTTAAAGGAAAGCGATGTTCCAGGCCATCTGAGAACCTGAAGGGACTAACATTTCTTAGACTCGAGAGAAATGTATTCTTTTCCCTTGGAAGGAGGGCATGTATAGCGTGAGCTTCCCTGTCAGCAGTCCTGCCTGCCCATCTCTCCACACCCTGAGTCTCTCCCAGCCCAATATCAGGATTCCTTCCGGCCTATATCATATTCAGCCCTGAGCCCTTAAGGGAGGAGGGCGGGGACAGGGCCAGGGTGAGGAGACGGGGGGGGGGGGGGGGGGGGGGGGGGA